GATGTTCAAGCAGATGCAGTATTTGCCCAGCCCAGACTCAGCCTTGAGCATTCAAATGCTCAGAACAAGCATCTGCAGAAGGCAGAGACAGCAAGCAAATACTGTGCTACTGTTATTTGCACTCTGATTAGAATTATGGCTCTCAAGGTCAGAAGGGTGAGTTTAGATGTTAGGTTGATAAAAAGCTCTTTTCTGTCTCTAGAAAAAAAGCAAGAGAATGACAAAGCCAGTATCCTATGTGCCTGTGTCTGAATCCCCAGCCAAATACCTCTTTACAGTCAAGTTAAATGGGGGTTTAACTTTTCCAGGCAAGCCAAAAAGCTCAGGCCTCATAATGCACTTCTATAGAAGGTAACATAGCAATACTTTTTAATTGCTCTACCACTGTACTCCAATACTAATTCTGAAAATAATGAAATTCAGTTAATTAGAAAACTAAACAGGAATTCCAAAGATAAAAGAAATAAAATTAGTTAAGGCAGAGCACCTGATCATCCAAGTACAACTTGAAAATATCATCTTAATATAACCAATATAGCATTGTATTCTATATGAATACATTTTTATGCAAGTGAGCAATGTGAATTCTCATGACATCTACTCAATTGCTATCTCTGAAACCCCAAATGACAGCCTAAATGTCAGCACTGTTAATTATTTCTCTACAAGGTATTTCAACAGAATATTCACTTAATGTGCTTGATTTAAAAAATAAAAACTTAAATCTATGCAACATTAAAAAACTTCCAATTATCTACTCTTCCATAATTAAATTTAAATATGACCAAAAGCAGCTAGTACAATTGTTAGCATATTTGTGCCATTGAAAACTAAAACTGTCAAACTATCATAAAATAATTTACCTTCAGGATGAAAATAAACCAGTTTGTTTCCTGTAATCCCCTCAGACAGTACAAAGTCAAATGTATGCTTTTAGAGTGTTTTTTTTTTCTATACCTTGCCTATCTTAGCCAGAATAATTTTTAATAAATTCTTACGTCACTATGATACAATATAGAAACTGAGGCAACTGTGGCAGAATATAAAGCCACAGATGAAATGTACAGTCTCAAGTTTAACAGTCTTCTTTTTAACTGCAGACAAGATCACAGACAACATTTGATAAGTAAAAACAAGTTACCCAAGAAGTATTTTTGTCTGTAGAGCTAGAAACCATCCATATGCTGCCAAACCATAAAATATTTTTATATTTTTATGTTTCAGTAGGAATAACTACAAAGGAAAGACTATGCCATACTGAAAGATTTTGCAGTAATGCTAAACACTATTATGACTTTCCAGAAAAATATTAGCAGCAAGGTTTAAACAAGCGATTGTTCTTTTGTGTGGAAAATATCTAGCACTATACAGATAAAATTCAACAAAGATCTTAGGTCAAAACAACCTCATGGAATGCTCCAAGCTTGGTTCAGAATGTCTGGGAAGCTGTCCAGTGGAAAAGGACCTGGGGGTGATGGTCAATGAATGGCTAAACATGATCCAGCAGAGTGCCCAGGTGGCCAAGAAAGCCAATGGCATCCTGGCCTTTATCAGGAATAGTGTGGGCACCAGAACCAGGGCAGTGACCGTCCCCCTGTACTGGTGAGGTCACACCTTGAATCCTGTGATCAGTTCTGGGCCCCTAACTACAAGAAGGACACTGAGGGGCTGGAGCATGTCCAGAGAGGGGCAACGGAGCTGGGGAAGGCTCTGGAGCACAATTCCTGTGAGGAGCAGCTGAGGGAGCTGGGGGTGTTTAGCCTGGAGAAAAGGAGGCTCAGGTGGGACTTTATTGCTCTCTACAGCCGCCAGAAAGGAGGGTGTAGCCAGGTAGGGCTCAGTCTCTTCGCCCAAATAACAAGGGATAGGACAGGAGGAAATGGCCTCCAAGTTGCACCGGGTGAGTTTACATCCTACATTAGGAAAAAATTTCCTCACTGAAAGGCTTGTCAAGCACTGGAACAAGCTGCCTAGGGAAGTGGTAAGGTCACCATCCCTGGAGGTATGTAAGAGATGTGTAGATGTGGTACTTGGGGCCATGGTTTAGTGGTGGACTTAGCAGTTCTGGGTTAGATGTTCGACTCCATGATCTTAAAGGATTTTTCCAGCCTACACAATTCTACCATTATTTTTTTTCTCATCCTTAGAGACTGACAGAGAAAGACTCATTTGTAAGAGTAACAAAAAAACAGGTGTGATGGCACCTTTATATCCTGTCTGCATTCTCCTAGAGCACTACCCTTAATTTTCAGGTTTCCTCTTACAGGATAAATTCTTAAAATTCTCCACTCCAACGTTTCAGCCTACAGTGTGACATATCAATTGGTTTACCTGGCAAATCCTACTAAATCCAAACTCTGTCCTTTCCTTCAGTGATTTCATAAGCAGCTTAAGAAAAGAGTAATTTTCAGTTAAAACTAGAAACAAAATACTTAGAAACAGTACTCTTCATCTATGTCTGTATTGTGCCAGGATTTATCAGTCCTGCCAGTAAATTAGTTAGGCACTTTTAGAATCTTCAGGCACATTTTATGCCTGTCTCATTTTCACAAGCAGAAATCCCTCTTGAAAAGGTTCTTTTTAAAATGTCATTCTTCTGTTATTGCTTACATCTTAAGGATCTTTTTTGTAGATTTTATTGTCTCTCAGTGACTCCTGCATAGTTGTTGATGGATGGCTTATACTCAGCTATTCCTTTCCTTTTCTATAAATTAAGTTGGGGTGTTCCTATGTATTCAAACTAACATACAGAATGCAATTAATAAACTTCTATAGAGCTGCTATGAATCCATCACATAAATATCACTAAAATAATGTGGTTTCTATGCTAAAGAAATGAGTCTGTTTCTTATTAAAATTATACTGAGCTTACTGGAACAAAATGTTCAATCAAATCTGTCATCTGAGATTGCAAAATTGTGAATATATCCTGTAAATACAATCTGTATTTAAATACACAAATGCACTTAGGTTTTACCTGCTATTACATATTGTACTACAAACCCAACACATATTGAAGAATTCAAGTGACAAATACCTAGGAAGGATAACTAGTAGGTATATAATCATTTATCACAGAAATTATGTCTAAATTATGCTACTCCTTTAACACCACCACTTTTATTCTGCTCTGAAAATATTCTATATTGAATTGTGTATTATTGCTTTGTTATTAGAAACTCTCACCTGCTAGATACAGAATCCAATATTTTGACGTGCTAAATTCCATCCCATTAATCATTGCCCAATGCTCCAATCTGAGATCCCTCTGCATGGCAGCTTCCTAGGTAATGCCTAGTTCCCCTTGTTTTTGTGAATAGATCAGTGTTGTACTTTGTCTTGTTTGCCATTTGTTCACACTCCATTGTGTAATTGCCCTGGTCTACTTTCCTTTTTTTTTTTTCCTAAAGAAATGTGCTTATAGCTTTCCATTAATTTTAATCTAAAATCTGATTTAAAATTAACTTTTTTTTTTTTTTTGCCGGCTGGCTGGCTGTCACAATTTGTAAGGCATGTTCTATAAAATCAACAAATAACAGTTTTGAGTCTCATAAGACAAGATCTAGTCAGGAGATGATTGGATGAGCATAAGCAAATAAAAAGGTCAGAAATTTGATATGGGATTTTTTAATATAGCGGGAGAAGCATTTGGATATACATAAGAGAGTTAGAAACACAACTACAGCTAGTGGCAGTGGAATTGTCTTTCTAAAAAGCTTTGAAAATGTAGATAACTAATTTAAACATTATTTTACTGTATTTTTCTAAGTTGCCCCCCTCCTAGTTCCATTTAGGCATGACAGATGAAGCTAAATTTCTGAATAACTGATTACCACTGAGATAGGGTAAGACAGGGAGGAAATTAAAATATATACACTGGGAATATGGCTGAAAAGTTCATTTCAATTGAGCAAATGAAAAAATGGAAATTTGCTGGCAGTTGCATTAAAAATTACTTCTAGTATATAATACTTTAAATCATCTCAAAGCTCAGTATTTAAAAAAAATAAACCCAAATTTCACTATTGAAAGAAAAAAAATCTCAAAACTATTTAAATTATAAGAATTATATTTGAAACATTAACTCAATTACAGTAAGTAAATAATGAAGAAAAGCATAATGAAGTATTAAAAGTGTAATGAAGAAAACATTTTCAGGGCTCAGAGTGCAGCAATTGGTCCCACAGCTTTCTCCTGTCATCCTGATGGGCCTGGCTACAAGGGAAAATTCTAATTTTCTAGAATTAATAGGCAAACCTCATCAGGGAGTTCCTGTCACCTGTGCTAGGTGATCCTGCCTTAGCCAGGGAGTTGGACAAAATAATCTCCAGAGAGATGATCTCCAGAGGCCCATTCCAGTCCTAATACTTCCATCATTCTCTGACTTTCCTGAAACTCTGCATATAGTTTCAGTCTCTTATAAAAAAAAAAAAAAAATCATTTTTCACAACTTGAAACAGCATTTCTGCTGACAGGAAAACCATCTGCCACAATACAGTATGTAGGAACCCAATGAAATAGATTATACCTTAGAACTGGTACTAAAACTGCTGTTCACTTTGCTAATTTCAGTAAACATATCAAGAAAAACAAAGCCAAAGCTGGACATGTAGTGCACAGAAATAGACTAGCAGGTCCTGAAAGTGCTCCGTGAAAATTTCAGGACAACACATACCAAGTGAATGGTGCCATCCTGGTAGAAAAACTGACTGGTGTTTGAAGAAATGTAAACTCCCTCAAATTATGACTGTAAAAAGCTGAAATAGCTGTGATTCCTAAAAGCATTATGTTGTTCAGTAAGACGGACTGAAGGCCACAAGAATGGAAAGGCATCAGACCAAGGTCGTTAGCAAAATAATCTGAAAATCGTTGGATGCTCTTTTACAAAAGCATAGGTAGTCATTCAGGGAGGAAAGGGTAATGTTCAGCCTTTTCATTATCTAGTAATAACAGAGTTTTAAGGGGAAGAGGAGAAAAAAAAAAAAAAAGAAGAAGAAGAAAACACCTTGCCTACTGATTTCTTACATTATGTTAAAGTACACCTTCTTTACTCGGGGGGAAGTTTTCCCGTGGTGAAATTCACTCCGGCTTCCTTCGCGCCGAAGGAGGGGCGCAGGGGGAGCGACCGCGGGATGTGCGGGCGGCTCCCGCGGCGCCCCTCGGGGCCGGTACCCGGCCGGGCCCTGCCCCGGTCCCGGCCGGGCCCGGCACTGCCCCGGTACCCGGCCGGGCCCTGCCCCGGTACCCGGCCCTGCCCGGCACTGCCCCGGTACCCGGCCGGGCCCTGCCCCGGTACCCGGCCCGGCCCGGCCCTGCCCCGGTCCCGGCCGGGCCCTGCCCCGGTACCCAGCCCTGCCCCGGCCCGGCGCTGCCCCGATCCCGGCCCTGCCCCGGTCCCGGCCGCCTTCCCGCCTCGTCCGCCGCCCTCCGCGTTACCGCGGCGACGGGCGGGCGCCGCGGCGGGCCGGGCCGGGGCGGGCCGGGCCGGGGCGGGCTGCGGGCTCGTACCGCGGGCACAGCGGCAGCGGGGCCGGCAGGAGCGGAGGGGGAGCACGGCAGGTAACGGGAGGGGAGGGGGCGGCCGCGGAAGCCGGGGGGTGCTGCCCGTGTCCTCAGGTGCCCAGCACAGCCAAGGCTGGCCCTGTGCTGGTGTCACCTCAGTGGCAGCATCACCTCTGGTGCCTGGTCCTTTTTCAGCCAGCGCCCCTCTGGCAGTGTCATCTCCCGTGCGGGTCCCGCTTTGGCAATGTCACCTCAAGTGCCTGCTCCCTGTGTCATTGCCCACACGTCTGTGGGCACTGGTACCCGTGCCCTTGAGAGCCCACTGCTCTCCCCCACCAGGAGTTAGGGCTGTTTCAGGCTCTCCCGTCACCCATAACATTGTTGCGTGCAGGCAGGCATGCTCCCCATCCTTGTGGTCCTGCAGAACCGGGCTGGTCTCCGCAGTAGCATTGTTCTGATCGCCCTGCCGAGCTCTTCGAGGGCTGCGTGTCTCGGACTGCACCTGCCAGGCGAGGGAGTGACCGGTCAGTAGCAATCCGAAATGGTGTTCGAGAGCACTTATGGCCGGGGTGGAAGTTAATCACGGTGAGCAAAAAAATGTTTGGTGAGCGCTGCCATGGATCTGTGGCAAATTAAGATTCATGCGCTTCAGAGTGTCTTCTCAAATCATTGACATCACACAACAGGGAACGATCCAAAACAAATTTCTGTATGGAGACCCAGGGCTAGGTTCAAGCTCAGCACCACCTCTGGTATCTCGGTGCTGCACCAAGTGATTCTCCAGTTTCTGTCAGAGAGCTGAGCTATCTCCCGAAGTTTTTGTCGCGCCCATTCCAGCCTGTAAATAGAGCTGCACCCCCATGTCCTTGTTGGTTGTAATGAGAAAATTGCATAATATGAAAGAAAAGCATAGAACTATCCAGTTTGTACTACTTAGCTATGTAAATGAATGCATTTAAGAATCAGAATTATTTGATTTTTGGTGTTTTAACAGGTTAAAACGACAATCATTATAATGGAGGAGGACTTAGAAGTGTTCCAGGAACAAGCTGTGACTAAGTACGTGATGACTTACTCTCTTGGGAGTTGAATATATGATGGATTTGAATTATGTATGTTTATTAAAAATGTTAACCACAAAATATTAATGATTTTGGAAGAAAACTTGAATCTACATTTCTTTTCCTTTCCATGCAAACTGGACAAGACAAAGTATCTTATTGCTTTGACTAGTACTCTACTCACTGTTTCTGTTAGTTATTTTAATGTTTTAAATATTCATACCTGAACCAGAGGTGGAGGGGAGAATGAAAGCTATGTAGGGTTTTATTAAGATGTTAAGAAATGTTGTTTCAAACGTTTTTTATAAAGTACTTGAAGTTGCTAGGCTACAGAAATATAAACTTATATATCACAGTTCTTAAAACATTAAGAATCTTGAAAACAAGATTAATTGCTAAAGCCCTAGCCTTATTTTGCACAGATAATAACTAAAACTGCTCTCCCCAATTACTAAGTGCTCTTTTTATAAGAACACATTATCTTTTTTTTTTACATAATCCAAGTTTCATTCTTTTAATGTTAATCTAAAAAAATATGTTAGCACAAAGTTTTTCTAAAGAAATGAGAACATGAGTAAGATTTTATGTAGGACCTCATCCCATTCAGCATCTTCAGGGAACACACAAACATAAGAACTTCCCCATTTAATGACTTAAACCAGAATATTTATCCATCATCATTTTATAAGTAAACTTACTAACTACTTTTCAAATAAACCAGTTTATTCTGCCATTATTACCAAGAAACAACACAATGTGATATGATGCATATTAAAAGTATTTCTTAAAATAAAAGAGGCATAATCTATCATACCTTATTCTGGCCCAAGAAAGTTTTTAATGGGATTTAAAACTGTGGTGTGTCATACTGAAGAATAATGCATGCACTTTTCATGGTAGATATAAACTACTGCAGTAGAATATTCTGATCAGTGTGGTGCCCCCTTCCTCCCACATTTAAGTTTTTTCTTTGCTTTGAGGGAATTCTTTTTTCATATCATAGTTACATGATTTGTAAAAGTAGTCATATAAAAACTTGAATTAGAAAACCCCGAAGGTATTGCTGTTCTTTGGCTACAAGTCAGAAGCCTATTTCAAAAATTCAGGATTCTGCCTTACCTTTATTTTAATCAATTTATGAAATTTCAGGCTATTTTCAGATGCATCTGGAAGAATTTGTCCCATCATAAACCATAATTCTTGCTATCTAGGTATTTCCATTAACTATACAAAGAATCTGAAAGAGTAGTTTAGGATATACCTTCACTGAAAGAAAACAATTTCATTCTATGCTGATGGTATTCCAGGGAAAATGCAGTGCCTCTAAAACTTGGTAATATAGCTGAATAATGGTGGTGAAAATCATGACAATTACATTCCAGCTGCAAAGACACATAAATCACAAATTATCCATCCATAGATGTAATAACATCCATGTTATTATGTTGATTCAGTATGGCTGAAAGTTGTTAAATAAGTTGGTTGTAGTTCTTAGAATGGAACTTTGGGGTAGAAGATTCTATCACAACTGGTTTGTATATTTCCTATTTTTAGAGCAAGGTTTGCAATAATTAAATGAATTGACTGTAGAAGCTGTGGTAAATATCCAACCTAATGAATATACTGTGTAAGATTGAATAAGTTTTACTTTTGTTTGCATAAATATGGCCATACTTATTTTCCAATTTGTGAGCAAATGTAAATAATAAGGAAGAAAGTATAAATTCAAGAAAGACGGTATGAACCCTAGATTTCTTAAATAATCTGTTTTTAAATAAAAACTTTATTCTAGAGTGTATGGACAATACCATTCTTTCTACCATTCATTTTTCTGTCTGTTAAGAAACAATCAGAAAAATGCAGACCTGTGCAGAACTCCAAAGCAAAAGATGGATAAATAGAGCTAGAAAGGTCTAAATAGTGCAAAAATCATTTGTGATAAAGGCCTGGAGGTGGTAAAACTTTTTATCTGGATTTTTGCCTAAATTTTGTTTTACATGAAGATAAATAGTTATTAATGACAGTAGAATATGACTCATCTCTATTTTCACTTATATGGAGTGAAAATCATTTGCAGAATAAAAGAAGACTAAGAGCTTGCCTACACCACTTTAAAATGAGATAACTTTAAGAGTTTTGAGCTGTTTCAAAGTAAATGAACCAAAAAAAAAAAGTAGCTCCCACTTGCTGAAGTACAAGTCATTACTTCCCTGTATAACTAATCAGTTCACTGTATGCATTCAGCAAACTGGGAATACTGAATCCACATGGGTAAAAACACCATGCATGCTTCTTTGCTTATGAGAAAATTTGTTCTTTGTGTGTTTACATGTGCCTTACTAAACAAAATAAGCCATTGCATTCCACATCCAGTGATCAAAATAAACTCTCATTACTCTGGTGCCATATAATTTGCCATATTTTGAGGGGGCTAATTTGCACTCTTTCCAAAACAGTAGTGGACTAAAGCAATAGTTACTGCAACAAGTAGCACCTCCCTGCAAGCAGGTGGGGACGACTGCAGATCTGTCTTCAATACCAGAGCCTTGGTACAGAATAGTTTTGGTAGTAGAACAGCGGCAGTAATCTACAACTTCACATACAGATTTCCTTTTGCAGCTGCAAATGTGCTTAGAGGATCCAGGTGTAAGGAATTTGAGAAAATGAAGGTAGACTGAGAAGCTCTTTCAGAAGCGATTTTTCTTTCAACAGCTCCCTTTTATATAATGATGGCTCTAGGTTCAAGAAGCGTGCAAGAACTGCTAAGAGAAATTTTTTCTAGCAACAAATGATGAATTTGCCATGTGCAGAAAGATCTGAAAGAAGCAGATGAAATTTAAGAGTGAAAGGTGTCAGCCATGGTTGGATCTGAAAGGGTAATCTGATGATCTAGGCTAGAAGTTGCATTCTTACTTGCATAACAGTATTTAGATTATCCATGTGACACGCAAAAAAGCAAGTACGTTTTTCTGAAGGCTAAAATCACACAGCTGAGTCATTGCTGGTGGTTCACCAAAGTGTTGCTGTGTAACATTAGAGGAGGCTGGAAGTGCACAGGCCTTTACAGCAGTATCAAGGAAAAGGTAGCCCTGATGTAGCTGGTAGACCTGATAAAGTAGTGTCGCTTTATGTTCTGTTTTCAAAATCCCATTTTATATTCCACCCAGAGTCACTCAAATTTTACCCATCATTAATGCTATTTTTGAGAGGGGTATTTTTGTTTTGAGTGATATACATCACTTGCTTACACTTTGCTTATTGTCATCCTATTATTCATATTAACTTTCAAAACATCATTACCAAGAGTTTTAACATTAAAAAGTCATTAAGATTTATATGCATTTAAAAAGCCCTTCCAAGCTTAGCACTGATACCATTACAGTTTCAAGGATTTGTGGATGTAAAATAAGTTTTAAAGAATTTAACTTCAAAAAATCATGCTAAGTTTTAATTACGATGTTATAAATCTAAGAAATTATCTTAAATTTCCTGTAATAATTATCAGAACAAGGGATGCGTATAATTTAAGCATCAAAGAAAAGATTTGTGATAAATCCATATCCACATTAAAGAGCTGTTTTTTCAGTTTAGTACAGTCAAAAGTTGAGCATGCAGGCAAATTCAAGATTGATGAAGTGGGATTCCACCTACATTTGAAGGCATCATTTAACTTTCCCATTTCTTTCTTTCTGTTGTTGAAAAGTAGTTAGTTTGGTCACAATTAAAACAGAATTGAAGTAATGTAAATAAAAATTTGTTTTCTCCCTTGTTCTTTATATGAAAAAAAAATCTTTTTATGTTTTTAGAGCTTCTCCGTGTGAAGCTGAACTTCAGGAATTAGTGCATCAAATTGGTATCATGGTAAACAGAAAGCAAGTAGAATGGGAAAGAAAGATGAGAGCTTTGGAAGCAAAGATGGATATCCAGGATCAAGAATTAGCAAGTGCCCAAAGCAAACTGGATCAAAAAGGTCAAGAGGTATTTAGGAATATCACATTCTATAAAGAAAGTATTTATTCTGGTAGTTTCTTATTAGTATGCTTTAAATTCTCCATAAGACCGTTTGTTCTATCATGTAAAAATACCAAACACCTCTTAAAGGTCACTAATTATCCTTAGTGTTTTGTTTTAAAGTGTGCTTCTGTTCTGAAAAGTGATTGTAAAAATGTCATTGAAAATCTCATATTTCTTCTATTTCCCTAAAGTCTACATCAAATATTCTCAGGTTAGCTGTAAAAAGATAGTTCAATGTTTTTTCTAAATGCCAGCACTTCTTATTTCATCAGGAGTTTTAAATGGAAGAATGCAATTCAAAAAGGTTCCCAACATTATGTCTTTGTTACTCCTTTTTACTCTTGATTTTTAGTGTTTTACATTTTATACTGTCTTTGTATGATAATTTTACTCATTGTGATGACTTTAAATGTATTACTACTTTGACTTTCTTGTGTAACTTAAAGCCCCAGTGTACCTGATGTTGTCTGTATTTCACAGTCTTTTCTTCTGAATAATTATTCAGAAGCATCAAGAAATCCTTGCATAGCATTCAATTCTAGTTCAAACCTGCTGAATTTAAGTGTTTACACAAGGGCATCCTTGTGCGAGCTCAGTGGCTAAATTGCCTGTGGGAGTTTTGAAAATGGAGTGACTCTCCCTAATGAGCAATTAAGGAACTCGCCCTTAGTCCCTGCAGTCAGAGGAACCAAGAGAAGAATTCAAGTAGCCCATCCTGAAAGCATCAATTTATTTGCTGTACAGAGACATTATCTGGAATACTTCAGCATATTCTACCAAGCTTCCAGCTGCCCCTCCAGGAAAGCACAGGTGCCATATATGCTCTCTGTCATATTTCTCAGGTCTCTGTGAAACTCAGTAATAATTCATGGTATCACAAATGGCACTGCACTTAGGGAGTTCACAGTGTCTCCTGGTAATTTGTACATAAATATGGGAAGGTAATTAGTATCATTTTATAAGCCATGCAAGGGACATTTTCACAATGGGCAACAGCGTAGTTTGGTTTTAAAAGCTTTTGGGAATGGTCATTTGTACAATATTATGACTAAATCAGCGTGTAATGAGATTTTTTACAATAAAATCCCTAATTTGATGTTGTCACAATCTAGGTCTGTGGTATGCATTCTGTTATCAAGCTAGTGATTTAATACTTATTTTTAATATCTCTTCTTAAAGCAGTGATCTTCTTTCAGAGTTTCAAATTACTTTCCCAAAAATTACATATTTTGAAAAATGTCAGAAAAGGTACTTTTGAATGCTTATTTTAACTTTAGGTGGGACTGCTTCAACAAGAATTGGAAAACTTACAGAAAACTAAAAATGAAATGGCTCAGAGTTATGAAACTCAGCTTCAAGCACTGAAATCTCAAGTAAGAAAAATGTCAGTTTCATTATTTTGTGATTGCAGTATAAAAAACTTACACATGCCAAATTGTATAGATGTGCCATCGTGGATTTGGGAAAGATCAATCATGTCATACAAATGATGATGACTACAGCTGCCTACTAGGTTCTATTATAATTTATGTACTGTCGTGTCAAAACTCTTTGGATGGATTTTGATGTGGATATGACATCTGCTATGAAGAAAGATACTTGTTTTCCTAACTTCAGACTAATAAACTAAAGCCTTGGTGAATGAATAAAATAGGTAATTGGATTCATGCTAATATGAGTCTGATGCACATTAGGGATTTTAAGATTTATACTGTGCTTCTCATGTCTTTGCTATATCTTTTTCTGGTTTTAGTTTCCTTGATTTACTGCTAAAGTGGCCTGATAGCTTTCCATAAGGTATAATTTCCTTTGTATCAAAACTGGAGTAACCCACATTAATGATGTTGTGAGTCTGTTCTGACTTTATTTATTTCTGAGTGTTCGTGCAGATCACAATAAAAAGAAATGTGGGCTGCATAAAAAGAAATGTGGCCAACAAGATTGAGGGAGGTTGTTCTCCCCCTTTTCTGTTCTGGTGAGGCCCCACCTGCAGTGCTGTGTCCAGCTCTTGGGTTCCCAGAACAAGAAAAATTTGGACCTGTTGGAGTGAGTCAAGAGGAGACCATGAAGAAGATCAGAGGGGTCTGGATCATCTCTCTGGTGAAGACAGACTGAGAGAAAGGACAAGGGTTTTAAACTGAATGAGTGCAGATTTAGACTGTACCTGAGGAACAGTTTATTATTTTTTTTTACTGAGGATGATGAGACATTGGAACAGGTTGCCCATAGAAGTTGTAGATGCCCTATTCCTAGAAGTGTTCAAGGCCAGACTTAGATGGGGCTCAGAGCAAGCTGGTCTAATGCAAGGTGCCCCCTTTTATGACAGGGGGATTGGACTAGAGGATCTTTTAAAGGTCCCTTTCAATCCAAACTATTCTATGGTTTTATGATGCAGTTTGGCTATGTTTGCTCTGCACCTGTCTTTTTGTTTCTTCAGTATTTTCTGCTTCAGTCATGGATATAAACTCGTAGCAAACTTGAGTAGATTCTGTTTCTCAGCTTTTAACAACTCTGCATTGTTTTTCCTGCTGTTTCCTTCACTGGATTCTTCTACCAGAGACATAGTGTTGTAATTCAGAATGTTCAGTCAGCACACTTATATAGTGATGTCAGATCACATAAATTGGATATCATTATTTTCATTTAGAAGTGATAGTACACCTGAGTCCATCAAATGAATAAATGTATTACTTATTTTTGAGGTTATGTTGTCTTTAATTTATCTTTTCTTTTACAATTGAAAACAGATTTAGAAAACAGTTCTGTAAGTAGGTGGTGAATGCTTTGGATGTTTTGTAATTAACACTTCTAATCATTTGAGAAAGTAGCTAGAAATAAAAGCTGGTTTATAACTTACACAAATTACAGAAAAGCATCATCTTAGCATGATTGTTGAGAAGATAAACATCAGACAATGAAAAGGAGTGTGACATTTTATGCAGAAGTATTTGGGTGTCTTTTAGCAGTGCAGAATTATTCTCAAAAATATAGTAAAGCTCTTTTTTTCTTTATAATATTTGCTGCAATATCTTTCACTTAATTATTTTTTTTATCCCATGCTAAAAATGCTTGGGTTTATGTTGCGTGTTGTTGCTAGTATCTTCACTGAAATTGAACCTTCTGAAATTGAAAGTCCAGGCAATTTTTCATCAAGATTTTTATTTTGGAGTGTTTAATTACCCTACAAGTCCTTTCCATGGGCAAATACAACCTGTTTTCTCTTTTATTTTTTTAAAGAACCTGACATTTTCTCACCTACAAGCTTTTCTCTTTAAACCTGGATATATTTCTTCCCCAAATTCTCCTTTTTAGTTACTGCTCAGACTACTTAACCTTTATTTGGGTTACTTGATTGCTTCTTCTTCTATCTTTATGCAAGATAAACTTGATAGAACTTTGGATTTCTAGCTCTTAAGAATATGTGTCACTTTCCCAATCCATGTCTCCAAACATTTCATTCTATCAGTCATCCTATTCCTTTTTCTAAAGCTTCCAGCACTGATGCTGTTTGCATTTTATTTTTCAGTCCCCATTCCTCTCCTTTGACCAAACCATATTTCTTCATGAAATATCCACCTCATTCACCTTGACTGAAAAAGAAAACTGTTAAATGTCTGCGTTAAGGGGGCTACCTTGATTCTCCATGTGATAAAGAGAAATCTGCCTGTCAGAACAATTCCTAGCACCTATGCTAGACAATAGGACTGTCCCACTCTGCTCCTCCAGCTTTTGTCACATCTCCTTACTGAATTTCTTTCCTAAATAAGAGTGCTGCATTGTCTGCAATGGAATGGCTTTAATGTCGCCAATTCTGAGCTACACAAACTCATATCTAATATATAGACCTTCTGTGACAATATTAATTTTTGCCTTGTTTCCTTTGATTCCCTTCTTTTGGTTCTTATTCTCACTTGGAAGTTATACCACCTTCTAAACTGTAGAATCTTATGAGCTAATTTAGTTTTGCACAAATTGTGTGACCAATAGCATTGTATCTTTTTCTACATAGGTATTCTTAAAATCCCACCCAAGATTTCTTCCTTCCTAATCTTGATAGAAATAGTAAGGATCACTTTTGCTAGCTATCAGAATGCTACACTATTCAGAATTAATTTCTTTTCTGTTTGATGAGCTATAGTCCATCTGAATTGATTGTGTGCCAGTTTAATGCAGTAAAACCTATATTTTTCTTGTATTAGGGATATAATTCCTAGTATGTAACCTGAAACTCTTAGGCCACACTGTTGAATTCGTTCAAACATGCAGCATTTTGTCATAACCAAATAGCAAAAACTTCTGAGGTTCATCTGCATTACTTTGATCCTTTATTTTTTTTTTAATGTCTAGTAGTTATTCTCACTTTGAAAGTGATGGAAACCTCTTAGCAAAAGAACAAGGATCCTTTCTTGCTCTAAGAACTTTGCAACTAATTTCCTCACTTTGACACATAAAAGCTACTTCTGAGCTATCCCAGGCTCCCTTTAGAATCAACAGAAAGAAATGGACACCCCCAGAATACAATTCATCTCAGTGTATGACAAGAATTTAAGATAGCTGAAATGACTAAGCATTTACAGGCAGATTTTTCTGATGCAGAGTATCTCAGGCTTGTATGTCTAACTTTCAGAAATCTAAACTAAGATGGATTCTACCCCAGAACTCACTAAAATGCCTCCTTTTTACTTAACATGCAAAACATGTGAACAGAACAACTTGGACCTTTTAAAGCAAATGTCTGGGCTTAAATAGAAGGATTTTTGTCCTTCAGTCTTGTTTCCAGTCATCATAACATTCAGACAATAATTTGCTTTTAATATCCTACTGTCATTAAATATCTAAGACTCAAACTAAATTATATCATTTTGTTCATTAATTCAAATTAAATTATATCACTCTGTTCCATTTTAGACTGATTTGCCAAATTGTTGGATCATGTATTTCCCAGCCTTTTTAGCATAAGCATTCCAATACCTGTCTTACTTGCATTGAGTCTTCCCAGGCAGATCACATATGCCATAATATATTCAAGAGCAAAACTCTTATTTGAAAAAGGATATCTTTCTTCCAAGGTCAACGAGTTCCATGTTGTTTGAGCTGGATACTCTGACTAATTTTAAATATTTTATCTTAACTCTGTTCTCTGACAAAGACAATTTCAAATATAGGCAGCTTTACTGCAAAGCTTTTGATTTGGGTTTAAAGGTGATAACTCATCTCTTTTATGCCCAAGTTACAGAATTGCTATTCAGACATTCCAAGCTGGTGAAATCTGTGCCTGGGCCTCTTCATGTCATGAAACTTTCTAGTCCAGGACAATCTGTCTTATAGCCATCTTTTCAATTAGTCTTTGCTGTCTCATTATGATTCTCCAGTTCATCTTGAATGTGTCTAGAAAGTTTCCAGATTATTTTTTAATTTGTTTCTTCCGGACTTCTTTTGGCCATGTGTATTTATCTGAACAGACCTCTATTGCTCATTCAGTGTTGACTCAACAGAATTCCATTCCATTTCCAAACAGTAGTTCACTTTGAGCTGTTAAAAAATATATAATATTTTATGGATTTTGTTTGGATATACAGAGAACTTTATGTGAGAGTCAAGGTTTTTTTTAAAGTTATATATATTTAAATATAAAGGAACTAAACAACAAGACACATGATCAGTATTTATTGGAAGCTTCTTTCCTGCATAATATTCTTCCCAAAGTTCTTCCATTCAACTTTCCTCAAGGCCATAGTTTTAGTGTTTCCTTTATTAATATCCTTGAGTTTGCTTTTTTCCAAAACCAAATGTACATATTCCTACCAAACAGTATCGCTTTTTTGTATCAAATCTGTTAACAGGCACTAGACAGACCCTTTGTTTTGTGCAGTGTAATGAACTGATGTGAAAAATGGCTCTTTTTCTGAAGAGGCTGGTCCTTCTCCTGCTACCTTTTCTTCTGTGCCTTTGACTCCTAAGACTTTCATGGTGACATCAGTAGGCAGTGGCTGTTGTCTATTTAGTGTCTAATTCTGAGACCCACACACTGGTACCAGAGAGTGCCAATCATCACACACAAAACATTTCAACAATTTTCATCATAAGAAAGAAACACGCAAGTTTAGAGTACATTGATGATAATCTTGCATTCTGACTAGTGAAGCACCCTTTAAAAATGTCAACACAAGATGGCAGTAAACAAGTATAGAACAATCCATATGAGCACTGTAGAGGAAATTACTCTGTGGATAGCAATGCCAGTGGAGAACTACAGCAGAATTCAGAAGCTGTCAAATGAACCCACTTGAACAGTTAACATCTATATGAGAGCTTAGTCTTGTTCATGTGTAATAACTTTATTAATTGAAGTTAACTTTATTAATTGATTTTTTGTTACACTGATTAAACATTTAGAATGCTAAAGCTGGAGTTGGTAATTCTAGTTTAAACAAAACTTTGGCCATATGGTCCTCCTTGATAGATTCTGCATGTTCAACTCTACTTTTGTTTTTAGTTCTCAAAGTTGATACATAGTTACGAAAAGCTACAGTCACATCAGTTAAAACCAAAAAATCTCCAAAGTAGAGAAAATTGTGAGGAAAACCTGGAGACATCATCTAACCCAAGGAATTTATACGTGAAACTTGAGGTAAGAATATTTGTCATTATATTTTAATGTGCTTCTAGAACTAATCTTTGATTTAAAATTGTGAGATTTATTTTGCTCATAGTTCTACAAAAATTATATAATTGTCTGTCTTTGGCAAGAACAGTTCTTAATTTTAATATTATTTAATAGCAAAATTTTTGTAAATGTAGCTATGAATAAATTTTACTTTTTTCCTGATGAATAGACGTGTACTGGATAACACAATCTCTTGAGGCGTGAGAGCTTCTACATATGCAGGATACTGTCACATAATACCTATCATTAATTCAAGTTTTATAGACCTCAGGACAACCTTGATCACTTTGGGCTACACAGAAAAAAGGATTTAGGATTGGAAAACTTCTTGTTACACATATATCCTGTCAGCACCCATATGCCTGAAGCAATCCATGACCTTGACCTCAGTGCCTAATTTCCCTAGGCAATGTATGAGGAAGGATTAGGCACTTAAAAATACATCCTGCAGAATCCAGCATATTGATTGGGGGACTAGATAATAGATGCTGAGGACAGGATCAGTCATACTCCCTATCTCTTTGGTCACGGGCTGGATTTTAGTGGACTTATTCTTGAATACAGGAAGACACTGATTTTTGTTCATAATTCCCAGCCTTGACTTCTCAGAGGTTACTTTATGGTCTGTGGAATAAACAGGTGTTTATTGGACAAACAGGAAAGTTAGGGAAGATAGAGAGCTTGTAGAGAGTGTGTCCACAAGTGGTGTCTTCTCTCCAAATACTCCTCTGGCTGCATTCAGTGGGGCAGAAACTGATATCCAGTATTATTTCTTATAACTGAGTAATATCATCTCTGGATATGCTAATTTTTGCTGCTTCTTTTTTACCTATCCAATAAATTTTCTCATATCCTGAGATAAACGAAACAATTTGAAAAGGAAGAATTTTGGAGCTTGTTGAAAAATAACATTTGTCTGTTAGAAAACTAACATGGGAAGATTACACTTCAGATTCTGTCTTGAAAGATTTTTACACCGAGTCCTCCACTTATGGGAAGACCAGTCTAACCAGTAATCTGATGAAGCATAGGATGATCACAAAATCCATGTTTTCTCTGTTGATCCTTTGTGAAGACCATAATAAAGGAGTGCTCCACATGCTTACTGGGCTGGGTGCTGTAGGCAAAGCAAGGAGATCGGTACTAGTTGATATGGGAGCTGCTTGCCCAGCTCTAAGCATTGGGAGGACTTAGATGTTTATGATGTAGATTATTTGGACACTTTGAGGACTTTGCAATCAAGAAATTCAGCACTAGTAGACTTTAAGTAATTTCCTACTTTCAACCCAAACTAAGCAGTGTCTTAGGATCTGTGTTTTGGACTTGCCTTTTATGGCATTCTGTGAGATACAGGACTACTGAGACCTCTGGGTTCCACATAGACACATCCAAACTCTATATGATGTTGGCTGTCTCCTCCACATGGAAGTTGTCACCATCAGAAAAGCTACAATGCTTTGGACTGCAGCATAACTCCCAACATTAGCTACTACAAGAATAATAAATGGGTTGTACATCTATCATTGATGTATCACTACTGTCAGCTAATTTGAGAATAACCTTACTCAAGATTAAAATGTGAAAATAATGTAAGACAATGCTATAATTTGATTAATTATGTAGTATGAAAAATGCATACTTGGAATATATTCAGCAAATCTGAGTATTCAGGAAATAATTACCGTGGTGAAAATCTACTAAGCTCAGCAGTGCTTTAGTAAGGCCTTGAACTTGCAGTCCTTACTAAATAGTCTGAAACTCTGTTTGTATCATGTTTTATAAAATAGGGATATGTTTATTGTTTTAAATGCCAAAGCAGATGTCAGGAAAGCTATGAGAGAAGATTTTTATTAATCTGTGTTGAGAAATAGTCAGGTTTTATTCAGTAGCAAAATAAAAAAACCCTTATTGTTTTAAATATGGGGAATATTCCAGTTTAGCTTAATTATAAAATATCATCTGTCTTTTGGAACAACATTTCCATTAGTTTTCAATATATAAATCAGTGTACTGTTATTTTGCTGAATTTTCAAACTAAAAGAGCAACAGCTCTAGTAACTGAAGTTCTGCTTATTTTTAGTATACTGCCTTTAAAATATATTTGTGAACATAAAAGGTTTGGCATGAGTTTAAAGCAAATTCAAATACACTATAAATATAAATGTAAGTGCAAATACAAAAAACAAAATTAGATAAATCTAATATAATTGAATTTCCTAAACAGCTTTTTGTTTAAACTAGATGAACTGAGAACCTGAAGCAGCAATTTTAAAGAGAACAAGAAGTAGAATTTATTCAATGAAGCTGCTGTCCCATTAAAAACAAAGGCGAAAAGTGAGCACTTTTTGTCTGAATATTAAGGGTTTGATTCCCTACTGATTACCCTTCTCAACACTAATACAGCTTTAAAGCCACAGGAATTTCTATCCAATACAATTTTTGTATCATAGTAATAACTCTAATATTTTATTATTTTTATTCAATTACTATGTTTACACTCAGTGTTCTTTGTTCAACAGCCTTTAAGACTAGTCTATCTCTGGTGGGGATGACTGGATGGCTGGTTTATAGAACTGTTATTTTTTTAACTTCTTTCCAAAATTATGGAAAGATTATGTATTAATTAAAAACCTAGGTATTTCTTAGAACAATGCACATTACAAAATCTCTTTCAATTGAAGAAAGTAGATATTTATGTCTACTAGGCTTGTTTTGCTGTCTTTCAGGAATTTAAGGCAAAATCACAACAATGGGAGAAGACTGTGACAACCTATGTAAATAACCCTTTTTTTGTAGATATGTAACCCAAATTATTTCCTGAGAAATGTAATTTATTTCAGGTAAAATTCCTACATTCCTGCTCTAGGAAGAAAATGAAGTCTTTACTCAGCTAGAGCTTACCTAAACTTAATTTTTAAAAACCAAGCTTACGGTGAATATTACAAAGCATGTCTATATTGATAGTGAATCTATGGTAAGGTAGAACCATACTGGAAGATCTAATGATACATGCAGTTATTTTAATTCAGGTTTTCTCATTAAAATGAGAAAATTAATAAGAATCATGATGAAAATGTTAATATTTCTTAAAAAGAAAAACCCAAACAATTACAAAACCCACTGAATGTTCCTTTTTACTTTTTAAGCATATTATAGATATACTTTTCCATGTTATTTGCTATTATGCAATTAATTGTGACAAGTTATTAAAAAGTATCTCAGCAGGTAAATAGTGCATGCCATTAAGGTGTTAGTACAAGTATAAAGTTCCTTCAAATCTGATAGCCTTCTTTTTTTTTGGAAGACCATAAATATACAATAGTATCATTTATGCAGAAAAATGAATTTTCATATGCTACTCCAGAATCACTCTTGGAGTTGTTTGTTGGATCACTTAGTCTTTTTTTAAATATTTTTCAGCCTTCTAGTTACCATGCAGTTCCTTGGTTGACTCTATGATTCTTTTTGATTTGCCAATTTGCTTATTGCTTTTTTTATATATAGACTGTTGATACTATATATTTTTATTTTTTTAATTCCTTCTATTCCAGAAAAAAAATGTTATTTAATGATGTTGTGATGACCTATCCTTCTCTAAAAATAACACCAGAAAATAACTTACAAATTGACTGCACCACAAGAGAGCTTGAAAATTAAGTAAGGGGAAGCCAGTTATGTTGCTCATTGGTAATTCCCTTCTCTACTGTTACTAAGCTCATTGGATCTTAATCTAGTGAAACACTTCCTTAACAATTCCTGTGAGACTCCTTACACATATCCAGAGTTTCCAAGGACAACAGCTGTTTTGGGTTTAGCTGCTGAGAGCATTATATTCCAGCAATTAAACTTTCATACAAATGTGTTTTAAAAGCAAGTCTTTGACTAGGTTTAACTATTGACTGATGACATGCTGATTGTACAGTTAGACAAGTCAAAATAGAGTACTCAGGGTGATCATTCACAGTTTTCTGTTGAAGCTTTCATTGCCATCAGTGAACTTGCTTTGAAGACAATTTCCTTCACAACTGTAACATAGCACCAGCTATTTTTTAAAATCCAAGTCTGAGGGACTGTTACCCTTAGCTGTTTCAAAAGTGTTAATTGTTCCTGCATCTTTGCCTCAAATTCATCTTTCATGACATCTTTGATTTCCAGTTGCGGTCTTGCACTATATTTTCGCAGGATGTATTGACACTTTCGTATATCAGAGTCCATAACTTGGATATCAAAGGGACCTTAATTTTTATCTATAGAAATTAAACTTGAACTACAAAATTTTTTGGGGTTTTTATTTGATATGCAGCCAGTGGTCCATTCTACTTAGGTTCTCAGGTAACACAAATTGCAATAACATCAAAAACTGTCTAAAGTATGACTTTTTGCAGTCCTTGTCAGTGAAATATAGTGTTTTTAACCCTATTTATTTTTACTTTATATTTTCTTGCCCAACTTGTTTTCTGCACATGATATATGATTTCCAGGTCATATTTTGTTGTAATTTTTCAAGTAATTCTCAGTCTTCTGAAATATTAGTGCTGCTTGTTAATCTCCCAGTAGTGGGATTCATGTCGATAATTTTTTTTAAACAGCAAAAACAGTTGCTATAGTAATTATGCTTCTTCACAATGCCTGTGGATTCAGAAATACTGGCAATACCAATTTTCTGAAGTTTTGTGTTTAGAATTTTAATTGGTACAAGAAGCTGCATGGGGTGTAGGACTCTGCCAAATGTACGAATGATTCTTCCCCAAGTTTAAGGATAATGGTCTCAAAGAAGTGCAGTTCCTGAAGTTACTGAGCTGTTTGTAGATGACCTGTGTAATGTAGCCCTCTAGTCAAAGGTTAATTTCTATCCTGAGGCACACACACACACACACACACACAGCTCCTGCTGAGTTCAATGAATCAAAGAGGAACATTTCTCTCAAATTATTTCTCACAGGTAACTGCTTTGAATAGGTCATCATAATCACCTTTTTCACATTTGAGTCTCATTAACATTAAATACTAGGAAAATACACAGCACAGGAGAAAAAAATCCTTGAAATCAATTCCTGTGTCCTTGAAGGCTTTTGAAACTTTTTTTTTAACTGAGGGAAAGTATTCAAACTGTTTGAATTATGTCATCTTTTCTAAGCAAATCCAGCTGAAGACAGGAATAATCTTATGATTTCACTAATAACAATTTGGTCCTAGCAATTTACATACAATTATTGAATTTAATTTAAAATATTTGTTTGTTTTGTAGAAGCAGACCCAAAATTATCAACATCAAATATGCAATAAGAAACAAAGCCAAGAAGAGCTAATTACCTATACCCAGCCCAAAAGTGAAAACTATGAAAACGATGATTCAATTATTGAAAAACTAAAGGCAATTGTGAATGAAATAGCAAGAAACAAGAATAAACTGGTAGAGGAAAACATGAAACTCCATGAGGATCTAAAAATGTACCAAAATCAGTGCCAGGTAGTAATGGATTTTTATGATAACTGTGGAATTAAGGTTGGAAAATCAAGATGAGATGCCTGCATAAATATACATTAGATGTATTCTGTGCATGGACACAGAATAATCTGGGAGCAGTATGGGATGTTTTTTTTAGTAAAATAGAAATAAGTTTGTTTTGTAGCAATATATTTTTTCTCTTGTCTATGTATCTAGGGTTTTATAACTCTCCTAACATGAACTTCTCCTAGTTTGGTTCCTTGTATATAAATGACTTCTGTGAAATCTCTTTATCTGATTTACACCTTGCTGTTCATTGTGCCATATAGCTAGTAAAGAAGTATACACAAACATGTGTGGTATATTTTGTTTATTTTGAAAGGAGATTGTGCAGTCAATTTTTAAATTTTTTTAAGTTTGTGGCTATTGTAAATAACCATCAGGTTTTATCCCCAATTCCCTGTTTTTCAGTATAGCACTGATCTATGAAGACAGCCATTTCCTCCTCTTCTTTTGGTCATGGTATATGAGTTCTGAAAAGATTGAGATAACATAAGATCTTTACAACCTTTTTTATTATCTGTGTTTGAAACATATCAGGAATTAAATTGTAGTTGATTTTTTTTTTTTTCTGGTGACATATACCATATGCTTTTGCTTTTTTATTTAAACACTTCTAGGTTCAGTAATATATTGAATGGTGTATAGAAACTTCAAACCCTTTTGGAGAAAGATTTGTTTGTTTATAGACAGTCTTGCAGAGTGCTAACAGTATATGCAATATACTGTATAAGAATTAGCATATATGTGGCAGAGGTTAATTTCAGATTGTGTTGTCAGGTGTTGTCAGAAGAGCCAAGTTTATATATGCTATTTGCACATTAGTTCACTGAGTTTTTGCCTGTGTACACATTATCAGTGTGCAAACAAAACTTCTGTTTTGGGGCCTGTTAAAAAGGCTGTCTTCAAAAGCAGGGACTAGACTGTGCAGTGGAACAAATCATGGCAGTCGCAGCAAATGGATACGTGCTGTATGACAGAGAGATTGTGCTGTCGCCTTGAAGAAAATCTTCAAGCAGGAAGAATTTTGGAATCATATGTTCAAGAGAATACAGGAGATGTAGGATGCTTGAAGACACTTTAAGTAGAAGTGGAGATAGATGTACATAACAGTGTCATCTGAAGGGCAGAAAGTTCCAGAATAACTGTGTTGGTGGTGTGGAATGCTGTTATGTTAGTTTGAAAAGCTGCATTTGGAAATAGCTGCATAAGGGAAACACTGATGTCAATGAATGGTGAAAAGGGATAGCTCAGGGAAAATATTTTTTTAGGAATGTCTGTATGAGAAAGAAGAAAGTACAAGGCCTGTTGTCAGCCAGAAAAATTAAGCAGGTTTGTGCAAAGGAGAATTAGGTTGGAGGATAGCAATAGTTGGACGTGATATGGGTAACAGAGGAAGGAGTAGATAGGAATCTTGGTGTGGAGAACCCTGATGGCAATTAAAACAAGAATTGTTGAGTCTCATATATTCCTTTATGCCTATGATAATTTCAGCTTCTAATTATTTTATTTATACTATTAATTAGCAAACAATAAAGTGAAATATTTGGAAGAGCAGTTTGTTGACTTTACAGAAAACGCAAAGTTTAAAATATCAAAATGGAGACTGCAGTCTATTCTATTTTTCTACCCTGTGAATTATCTGACAAATTTATCTGCAGCCCTAACATGAGAGGTAACCTGAAAACATCGCACAAGGGGCTTGGTTCTTGAAAAGTCAGCTTTAGGTCAGCTGCTGGATATATGTAAATGTATGTAAATTTGTATTTTTACAAATTTATGTAAAAATACACCATATAATTGTATTTAAAAGGAATAGTGTATTGAATTTGTGTTGGGAAGGTTTTGGTAATGGGGACGCTCCAGGGATGGCCTCTGTGAGAAAGTACTGGAAGCTTCCCCCATCTCTGACAGAGCCAATGCCAGCCAGTTCCATGATGGACCCAGCAGCAGTGATGGTGGTACCTTGGGGTTAATGTATTTAAGAAAAGGTAGGTGGGGGAGCCCTGTGCAGTGGGGAGAGAAGAGTGAGAATGTCATAGGAACAGCCCTGCAGACACCAAGGTCAGCGGAGAGGAGGGGCAGGAGGTGCTCCAGGTGCCAGAGCAGAGATCCCCCTACAGCCCGTGGTGAGGCAGCTGTGCCCCTGCAGCCCGTGGAGGTCCATGGTGCAGCAGAGATCCACCTGCAGCCCCTGGAGGAACCCAGGTCAGAGCAGGTGGATGTCTGAAGGAGGCTGTGGGAAGCCTGTGCTGGAGCAAGCTCATGACAAGACCTGTGGCCCTGTGGAGAGGGAAGCCCATGCTGGGGCAGGTTTCCTGGCAGGACTTGTGACCCCACTGGGGTTCCACACTGGAGCAGCCTGTTTCTGAAGGACTGCACCCCATAGAATGAAGCCACACTGGAGGAGTTAATGAAGAACTTCAGCCTATGGGAAGGACTCACCATAAGTTCATGGAGGGCCATCTTCCTTGGAAGGGACCCCCACTGGAGCTGGGGAAGAGTGCGAGGAGTTCTCCCGAGAAGGAAGGAGCAGCAGAGACAAGGTGCGATGAACAGACTGCAGCCGCCATTCCTCATACCTCTACAGCACTGGAGGGGAGGAGGTAGAGAACTGAGGAGTGAAGTTGAGCCTGGGAAGAAGGAGCCATGAGGAGAAGGTGTTCTAAGATTTTGTTTTTATTTCTCATTAACCTGCTCTAATTTGATTAGCAATAAATTAATTTCTCTGAGTTGAGTCTGTTCTGCCTTTGGCAGTAACTGGTGAATGGTTTCTCCCTGTCTTTATCTCAAGAAACAAAGAGAAAGGCAGTGACAGTGTGGCTGTGGTGGGTACCTGGCATCCAGTCAGGTCAACCCACCACAGACAGCTTTGAGTAGAATTAGAACAAGAGCTGATCAGGAAATTTTTGGGACTTTGTTTTGATTGGCAAGCTAGTAAAAGCAAAACTTTTCACAGAAGGAAAGAAAAGATGTAATGATTTTTTCAACTTGAAATAGACTCTTTATATGAGATATTTTCTAAACAAATCCTAAAGGTTTCTGCTTCTAAATTAATTTTCATTTTAACCAGATGGGGTAGATATTTTCTAAAATAGTAAGTGATGCATATCTAATTTATTTTTTTAACTGATATGTGAAACTGTGAAACTCTTGACCTGAAGTTCTGTTTCAATTATTATTGCAGCTGCTGCTGTGGCTGCTGTTCTTCCTGCTAGTATTTTAATTCACAAGAAAATACAATTTATGTAAATATGTGTGCTGACTGCAGTTTATCACAGAAAATATTACTTCTGCCACAAAATTGTGTAGAATTCATTTCCCTTATCCACCCCAGAATGAAGTCAGAGGGGTAACAATCTCCCAAGTTCCTATGTTATAAAACAATTGTGGCTATTTCTTAAATGTTGGAGTCATGAAGATTAGAATAAACAAGTCTTAGCAAGAACTTTAACAATTCATTAAGATTTTTTTTCACTTGAATATACGCAGAATTGCATTTGGTGTTTAAAAAAGCTCTCATGATCTTAGTGTAACAAAGGATAAGATGAATGTCTATGCAGCCTCCCCCTAAAAAACTCAAAAAAAAATGCAAAAGCACTTCGTATCTGTCTTTAGCAACCCTTTCAGCCAGAAGAAGACCACCGGCTTCTTGGGAGGAGGGTCATTCTCATAGGAGCCTCTAAGGGAAATAAACCTGTGAAGTTCTTCCTTGCAGTGCAGTTTCTGTAATCCAGTTCTCTTTTAAAATCTTAAAGGCTTTATTTATGTTCTTAAAGATGGAAGCTATATTCAAATAAAATTAAGAAATTATGAAAAATGTGAATGTTTTTAGTGGAATAGTTTGAAAGGTAAAGGATCAATATCCTTGGAAAAATCTTTTTCTTTTTTTAATCTGAAACATGCTTTTGTATCTTAGGTGAGAAACAATACATATGCTCTGGATATTGCTATTTGAAGCATTGATTGTTAGTGGTACTTTTGTTATTTGTGGGTTGTATTTCCAATTTCTTATATTTAGTATGTTTTCAGTATATTTTTGTGAAATTCTGATTTTTTTTTTAAATTCATGTTTTATCATGCCAAATGTAATATGTGTCTTCAGGTTGTCTAACACGCTATCAATCAGAAATAAAAATAAAGCAGAATAACATTTGTCAAGTCCCTAAGAAAAATCTTTTTTCAATTGTTCGAAATTTTTGTGATGCTTATTTAAATAAGCAATGAGCTCCATGCAGATGGAACTAGTTTTGAAGAAGATTTATGCAGCCTAGTCATTTCTAAAGTTTATAAATTTGGAAATGCTGTTAGTAAAATAGAAAATGGAAGTGACTTATGGCACCAATTCCACCATGTGAAACATGTTCCAGGATGCAAAACCTGCTAAAACAAGCCAACTATATATTTTAGATGCATTTAGTACAATAAAGAACTTTTGAATTATGTTTCCTATGATAATTTTAGAGGCAGATGCATTGGAACATTGCAAAGGCTAAAGAATATTATGAGTCTGATTTTTAGATGAGAGGAACTGACATGGAAGCAATATGTTTTTCTGAAATTAAAATCATGTATGTACAGGTATTGAATATGATGTGCTAAAAACCAGCATTTTGAGCTGTCTGGTTTTATTTAACTCTTTGTGTATTTGCTTGTTTCTTTAGAACATGGAGGCAGACATCTCAGAAATGAGAAATGAGCTTCAGTCAAGGGATGGTCTCTGGAGAAGGATACAACTGGAATGCCAAAAGTTGTATACAGAATTATTGAAAATCAAGGAGTATAAAGATATGCGTGAAATTCAAATAAAGTATGGATGGTGAAGACATATTTAAATTAACAAGTACTTCTGGGCTAATAAGTTTTTTTCTTATATTTGTTTTAAATTAAGTCTGAAAAGGTACTCTGGATTCAAATGTCAGCTTCTAAATTTTAGACTGGATATTTTCATTGACAATTGTATCAGACAATTTCTGGCAATAGATACAGGCTATGTTAAAAAGCTTTAATGATGGCTAAATTTTTACAAATCAATGCATTTCAGGTATTTCTACTTGTATCTTTACAGTCTTTCCTTTTCTCAGCATTAAAACACTTGAATAAAATTGTCATGGTTTTATGGCTTATGTAATCTGCTGTAGCCATTTCAAATTATATGAAATACCAGTCTGTAAGGGCTTTCAGGAGTCTTTCTGCACATAGTTGTATTGTCCTTGATTCCTAGACATCTCCCAAAATCCAGCCTGGTTTAGGTCAAATGTTGATTATGTCTGGGGGTATTTTTTCATCAGCGAGCAGATGTTCTACAGTTTTACACTGTGGAGAGGATACTGCAAGGTAAAGAGTATTGAATCTTTCATGTTTTGTTTATTTCTTACTTGAAGGCATCAGTCATCTCCTGTTTATCTTACTGAGCAACTAGAAACTAAAAATGGTGAATTACTGATATTTGCAGAAAGTCGAGAACACCAAGAAGAAGAGCTGAACAAGGTATTTCCTATAATTTCCATATCTTAATTGCAGTATAGGAATTTTAGGAGAGAATACTGACCTAGGGTATGTGCATATACTGTAGGGAGCAGGAGGATACACTGTAGGTTCAGGAGAACATGAAGTTTTTTACATGGGAAAGATTTTGTATATGTTTGCATTTAGTTGTGTAGCTGTAAAACTGACATTCTGATTCTGTGCCTACCTACTTCACTGAAATAATAGAAGAGACCATGCCTATAGATTATCGTGATTCAGATAATACCATGCAGCTAAGAAAGCCTCCAAAGCTCTGATTAACTGGTAACCTGTAGAGATAAGCTGTAACTTGTTGCTAGTCTCAGAGGCAGGGTATGCAAACAGATCAAGTGATACAAGTGACTGTGGCAGGTACCCACACAAGGCTGAGCTTGCTCAGGTACCTGCAGCACGGTTGGTCTAGGGCAGAGCTCTGTCGTTGGAGCTACGCGCCGCATTGCTCGCACATTTCAGAAGTGCTGTGAGCAAGCAGCTGTGGCATGGCACTGTGGAACTGTGTATGGCTTGGGAGGCTGAGATACCTTGGAAGTAGAGGATGCTCAGAACTCAGAAGCATGTTGTGGTTTTGCTAATTAGCAATGTAAGCAAAATCACAGAATTGTTAGGTTGGAAGAGTCACCCCCTGCCACCTAGGGCAGGTTATGGGAATGCTTGCCAAGTGGGTCTGGAATGTCTCTCTTTGGATGCATCTGACTTGGGTTCATCAGTTTTGGTACGATCTAGCCATGATCTAGCTTATAGGTTTTTTTGCATTTATATATATTTTTTTACAATTCTAATACTTCAGAATGCAATCTGTTATTCATTGTGCATAGTACTGCAAAAAGTTGGTAAGATGGCTGCAAAGGTTGTTATGCTGTTTTTTGACGTCCTGTTTCTTATACAATAAAATAATCTTTCAGTACTAAATTTTTGGTTATAGTAGAAAGATTAGGAAGACAATTTTTGTGTTGATACTTTTGAGAACTCTGCACAGGAGCTTTTGAAGAAAGTTTGGCCTTAAATTTTTACATGTAATGGCAGGGAAAATTCTCATAAAATTATTTTCCATATATACCCATTTCTAGCATAGTTTCTTATTAAAGAGCCTCTAGATTGATTTATTTTGTTGCTCCTAAGTTAATTTAAGCTTCGTCAAACTTTTTTTAAACCTAAGTGCAGTATAAACAAATCATACTTAAATTTATTGAATGGATATTTCCTTGGATATTCTTTATCATGAATTGGAATTCTATATGTGATTTTACTACATTCTTTTAAAAGGTTCATTGAAGTGTATTGTACTTTGTTCATTTCTAATATTAAATTGGGAGATGAAAGTACAAGGGAAGTGAAAAAAATATGTAAAAATAAACAAAGCTCTGTGCACTGACTTCCAAAGGCAGTTTATTTTACAATTTCAGAATCTCTGGTTCAGTTAGAAGAGTTGGTGTCTGGGATGCAACAGCAGGAAAAGTCACTGATAAGTAGCAAGTGATGCAATCAGATTTACTGCACAGCATTTTTTCTTTTTGAAATGTATTTGCTACAGATAAGAAACCATGTTTATCGAGAGGAGCGGTCCCATTGCTCTGAGCAGGAAAGAATGAAGACAGAAATCTCTGACCTGACAGAGGAGCTTCATCAGAAAGAGATCACTATAGCAACTATCATGGAGAAAGCTAGTCTTCTGGAAAGACAGTTAAAAATGGAGCTAGAGACAAAACACAAATTGTTAACAAAACAGCAGGTATGCAAGTAGGCAAAAGCAGCCCACATCATTTTGCTCCACTATTGATGACATTCATTATCTGTGGGAAAAAAAGGCATCATGTTTCTTGCTATAGTTTTTATCAGCAGTGCTGTAATATCTGTGAAGTATTACAAAAGCAGCCAAATTCATACTGGAACAAGAAATCACCAGTAAATGTCAATTGTATATCTAAATAGAAATTCATTCTGACCATCACATCTAGTTATCATTTTAACATGCAAAAGATCTTGAAAACTTCCAGTTTGTGGTTATTACATATGCTTCAAGTTTCTAATTTTCCAGTGCTTTCTAAAAATTTTTGAAGAATGTTACAAATCTGCATAGAAAATTCAAGTACTTTTATAGCTGGAAACTGTAAGATACCAGTACGAATTTTGATGGCAAATTTTTGTTTAAAAAAATTGTCATCTTTGTTACTTAGTTTGTAAGACAAAATAACCATCATATTTAGAGGTTCTGAGTATCTCTGTTTTTTATGAGAGGGTCACTACATGTTGACAACTGTGATTGACGTAATACTTTACTTTTGACAATAGTAAAGTTAGTGTTTGGGGAAAATGATACCTCCTGCTGTGTGGTGCTCTGTACCAGGTATTTCCATATCACTAAAAGAATCTATATAATTTGTAGACATCATGAATAGGATTTCCTCCAATTTCAGTGGCCTGTAAAATCTGTCCCTTTTTCTATGTATTAACTGCATGTGACCTTCTTGTTTTCATGTCATTACTTCTTTCAAAAAGGTAAATAAATTCAGAGGTATTGTATTTGTATATCTTTTATAGATGGTTTAATAATTCTACTTTGATATTGCTATATTTTAAAATATTATAGTAAATTTTATAGTTACTAATGTATATTTTGTAAAATTAAGCTTAAATGTATCTATACTCAGTGTTACTCCAGTTGAGAGTACTATTCTTGTATTTAACTAAGAATTTAATCTTTTCCTAGTTGTTGGAATTCCATTACCAAGCTATCAAATCTGAAAACACACATCTAAAAGAAATGGTGGAAAACCAGGAGTGTGAAAGTTGCATGGTAATTTTTTTTAACCTATGAAGTATGTATAGTATGCAAGAATAGTTACTTATACTTATTGTAGATGTAGATTAAGATTATGGCAGATATAGAGATTTCTGCTTTCATTAATTAAGTAAATAAAAATAAGGTGTGCAACATAATCAAAACCAAGTGGTATTCACAGACAACCTGAAGATGAGTATAGCTAAGAGTAATTTTTACCTTAATTGTATTAAACTACAGGTAAGTTAAATTTTTCAGTAACTGTCTAGACATGAAACAATTTCCAGGAGCTTATTTTTTTGTAAGTGATATCACTTATTTAAGTTTAAACAGTCATCATTCTCACAGACAAAAATATATCCCTTTTTTTTAAATATCTTACCCCTTTGTTCACATGGCATTTAAATAGCAGTGTAAAAATCTGACACATTTTGCTCCCACTCAGCTTATTTTCAGAGTTTAGTATTTATATCTCTCCAAACAGCGGAGCTTTAACATTTAATTGATAAAAAGTGTGCCACAAGATTATCTAGAACTATGGTTTATGAAGGTATAATAAATTGTATATATGCTGTTTTCCACAAAAAGCTTCAAAACATCCCCTGCTTATAGAACATCTGCAGTTACTGTATCACTAAAAAAAAATCCCACTGGAATGTTGTTTGGAAATACTGATGTAAATACATTCTGGGGGGATTTGTAGCCTGTTAATTGTCATGAATGAATGTTACATTTATCCACACCCTTAAAACAGCACAGATGCCGTCAGTGATGTCTTACCTACGCATACAGACACACTATTATGGATCTCTCTGTGTGTATATATGATATATCATTGTGGAAGCATAGATGGATGTGTGTATGCATGTCTAACTCTGCAGTGACACTTTTCTTGAAGACTGAGAAGAGCTGCCCGACAAGGGTCCTTGGAGACATCACATGTTTGTTATATTTTAACAGTAAAATCCAGTTATTACAAACACCAAGGTCAATACATGTTTCAGTAGATTTGTGGACTTAAAAATTCTTTGCTGCTTTACTAATGTATTGTGAGGATCTAAACATTAGAGATTGTGATATATTTGATATTAAGATTCCAGGGACTGGAGAGATTTTTATGGACATGTTTGTGCTGTACAGTGGAGCACTACACAGACCTCTGAGACCAGTGCCAGCCTAAGTCAGTATGGTTAGGGTAGTCAGCCAGGCAAGGTTACTTTCAGGGTTTAGATATCAAAAGAAATGTAGCTGAGCCAGCTCAGTTTTGGAGTTCATGCCATTATAATTTACTGCTGATTCTGCAGCTATTAGTGGTAGGATGACTTAGTGCCCTCCTTCTCCTGCCACTCCTCCCACTTGTGAGACATAGCTGAGCCCCTGCTCCCCCATAGTTGCACAAAATATTAAATTTTATTATACCTTCTGGCATTTCCATGCCAGCTTGGCTCATAAATTCACCCTAAAACTGAGAAAGGTGAGGTTCACAGGAAGAGATGGCATCAAACCAGTGCACGGAATAGACAAGCTTTCAAATACAGGAGCACAATTGTGCCAGCAGTGTACTGAGAACCAAATCTGTAATGATTTACTGAGTTCCAAAAGAATGAGGTAAATCTAAGACTATATGAAAGCACAACTTAATGAAATGCAAGGGGTTTTAGTCTTTTGTGTGTAATCTGATTAACTTTTTGAGAATTTCCTGGTGATGACAGTATACTGTTATTGCAAATATATTACACAATGCTGTGCAGTACTCTGCAGAGAGATAGTTCCAAAATAGTTGGCTCAGGTGTGCAGCATAGGCTTCATGGATTAAGTGATAGGAAAAAAAAGGAGCAGAGTATCCTGGCTAGACAACTTCCAGAGCGAATTTCCATCTTCCCTTCTTGATATCCTAGTGGATAAGGGTATTTAGCCCCTGATCACAGTGCACCTGTGGCTTGCACTTGCAGTATTTTGCCTTGCACACCATGTGGGTTAACCCAGCTGATAACTGGGGTTTAGTGACAGGGACAGAGAGCACTGTGCTGATGTGGCTTTACTCACTGTTTTTGAAACTGAAGGTGACTGTGTCAACACACATATTAAACTGTGCCTGTACACATATTCTATATCTACTGTAGTAATGAACTCCTACAATTTTGCTTGTTATTTTTGGAGGAATTGTTACTGGAGGGAGCAATACAGTCTGCAGCTATAGCTGTTATGGTCGCTTTTATGTCATCAGTTTTACAAAGCAAGCGATAAATTTACAACAATAATATTTTGAATGCATGTTTGCTGAGAAATTTTAATTTGTTTTATTGTGTTGTAAAGGCTGTTATCCCTTCTTTTCCATTTATCTACTGTGATTTTTTTTTTCTGGAGGCAATTCTCTTGGTTTGCTCTAAATGGTGCATGATTATATATGGTAGCTAGGTCTTTTCTTTAGCATAGAACATTGTTTTGTGTTTGCTTGTTAAAAATATACCCATTTATTCTGGAAAAAATAACTACTTAATGATGGTATTATCTCCTTTCACAGTGTATAGATTTATGTAACAAAGAACATGGAAATTTCACAGCTTCTCTTCACAAAATGAAACATGAGAATTTAAGACTACAAAATAGCCTTGTTAAACCACAAAATTACACAGAAACATCGATACTGGGTTGCATGGATACATGTAGAGAAACAGAGCACAGCTACCAAACTCATTCAAAGATGCAAAAAAAGGAAGAGAGGTAGGTAATATTTCGATTGTACACATTTATGAAACTTCTTGTGATTTGGAAGGTCTGACAGGGCCAAACTGTCCAGTATTTTGCTGTTTTTGTTCATTCAGAACTCCCATCAATATAAATAGCAGACCTAATTAGTGTATTTGTAAGGACTTCCTACATTTTTCTGGATGGATAATGGAAATGGACAATAAATGAAGTCTCAGAAATGTTTAATATCTGTTATAGTATTTAGCACATGACACTTAAAAAATCTTTTATGTGCCACTTAAGCTATTCTTAGTTCCAGGTTTTGCAAGATAGACCAGACTCTATTTTTATTACCAAATAAAAACAAGACAAGGAAAGGCTAGAAAAATCAACATGAGAGGTAAACTTCTCGACGGGAGGTTTTCTTAATAAGCAGTTTGAACTATAGGCCCTGCTGAAAAGCTTTGTGTCCTCCAGTTTCATTTGTTGGGAGTTTCATTAAATGTATTTTAATGCCTTGTCTGGTTTCAGTGGTTTTGGGTGACCTGATTTTTAACAGAAACATAATTTCAGATGCCCTGAGTAAATCATTATTACAATAAACTCCTTCTTAGGGAAAAATAATGAGACTTTAGAATATTCAGACTCATAAAAATCATTGTAGTGATGACTTTCTTCTTATTTCCCTGTATTCAGTGAGCCATTGAATTACCTTCAAACATATAATAATCATAGCATTGCAATAAAAAAAAAATAAACACCTTGCTAAACAGTATATGTTGATTATTTGTAATAAAGAACTGACATGGTAGCACTAACATGAAATAGTTCTGTGAAGTAAAGTTGAAATAGTTGGAGCCAAAATCGCATGTGTTAAGATTTCAAACTCATACATTTAGGTTTTGGCAGAACTTAAAATTATTTTCTTTCTGCAAAATAGAGTGGTGTCCCAGTAAATGTAGCTCCATTTTTGCCTAAAATTTTCTTTTAAAGTGTGCTGTTTTGTGTTGAAGATAACATTCATGTGTATATAAAAATAAATAGATATATGTATTTATATATATATATGCATATACATAATGCATGAGTATATATATATATATATATATATATATATATATATATATATATACACACACACACATACACCTATCTTTGGAAGTAGCAGGTATGGCTGATTTCCTATGAAGTTTGAAATTATGCTGAAGATGTTGCTGAAACAAATACTTGTAAACCAAGATACATATTATTCTGCACCAGGAGGTCTCATAACTTCACAAATTGGTCATTGCCATTTTTGCTCATGCTTCAACTCCTCCAAAGTCAGGAAGAAGTAAGATTTTTTTTCCCATTTTCTCAGGATTTACACTCGCTGTACATAAGAGACTGTGAAATTTAATTTATGAGAACGTAAATATTTTATACAATAGAATTATGCATGTAATTTGCAGGATTGTGATTTCATAGCTGTTGGAAGATCAATCAAAACTGTGAGAGAGACACCTGTGAGAATTGACCTTTCTCCCAACAGAAATTTCAGCCAGACTACTGAATACAATATAAATTATTATTATTATTGTAGTTAATATGATGAAACAGATATATTGAACCTAGATTTCAGAATCTAAATCATTCATTAGAATTTCTAAATGTAAAGCTATTCAGATAAATAAATAAACAGATTTTAAAACTTGCAAATTTGACATGTACTGTGTATGCACATCACTTAGCCAGTGTTTTTATGATAGGGCCCTCTCTGTACTATCAGTTCTCTGTTCCCAAGCAAGAAACTACCTCAGGATTTTTCCAGAAAACTAAAATTAAATTTTCAGCCATCAGATCATCGCAGATAAAGTAGGAAATTGATCTTGGTTAAGTTAAAATCTGGGGTATGTTTATTTTATTCTGACTGTAAACCCTGTTATTTCTGCTTTAATTTGCAGTTCTGTTTCCATGGTAATTATGGCACTGGAGAAAGGGCACAAAAGACTTTTTTTATAGGGTAAAAAATTAGAAAACATGGTGTTTGTGCAAGGGATGGGTGTATAATTTATAATATTTTTCAGTTGTGTGTCTCAGTCAGTACTGGAATCCTGGGCACAGGCACCCTCATGTCTTAGAGAAGAGACCTCTAGAGAAAACACAGGAAATTGCAGGAAGTTATACTGGCAATCCAAAAAGCAGCATGATTCTTCCTTCTTTCAGTATACAGGGCATTTCTAAATACTAGAAAGTAAGATATGCAGAAGTAGCATCTTTTTGCTCAAAAAGTACTGTGTCCACATTCTACCTATAACCACCTTAATTAATTACTGTTTTCTTATTTAATTATCTTACTTCTAATTGCCATTTACATAAGCTTTCCCCACTCTCAAGATTTCAATCCTTTACTTAGACCTTGACCGTATGCAGTTGATTTAAGTTTGCATTGTCGAAGAGGACTCTCCGATGAAGCTGATCATTTCAGTTTGTTTCTTCCAAAATTAAAACATGCCTGTGAGTTTTGAAATGAAAAGCTATTTATTTTCCACAAAAACATGCACAAAAAAGATAACTGATCAAGCCAAAGTGCACTTTCATCATGTGGGGAAAGTGAAGGGTAAATTCTGAGATTTAATGCCTGCTAAGGTAGCTGGGGATCGTTTAATGGATGTGTGTTTGCAGTGAGTATCTGTGTTAAGGAGGTTTTTGGAGATCATACAACTCTTAGTCACACCACTGTATCAGTTTTTGCAACAGATAAAGTGGAAAAAGTAAAAACAGTTCTTCAGGAAATGGCTTTTTATCCATTTTAAAATCAAGCTAGCCGTTATACGTGCCATGTAAAAGCAACAGCTCGAATTCTTGAAGACATTCTGTCATTAAAGATTTGTAGTTTTCTTTCTCAAGACTGGTTATGTCACCAGCAAAGCTGAGTAAGGAATTTGGGGTTTTTGCATCACTGAAGTCATTGACTGCACAGAGACCAGGCTGATTTTATGTGTGAGTCAGGAAAAGTAGATCCTGTTTAAATTGCCTTTGTGAGAGCACTGTTCTTTCACTACTTGTCCCCTGTGTCACCATGTCAACAGTGATATTATTTGTGTGGCATGTGTACATGTTAAATACTCTATGACTAACCCCACCAAAAGCGTTACTTGTTCAGCTGCAGTAATAGTGTATTTGCATTGGTAGTGTTAACAAATGGACAGCTTTTCACAAATTTGCAGATTGTGTTTAAAGTAGATCTATGTTTTTAGATATTGTTTTGCACAAGAACTGGTAGAAGTTTAAACCACAACTGTGGACACCATCCAAAGTAAAGGCCAAGTATCCCTATCAAAGCACCTCGATGTAGGTTTCATGTTTTTCCAAAATACCAAGAAGCCTCAGCAATACTATGGATCACACTAGGAATGGGAGAATGGGAGTCCCTTTTTAAAAATCAGTCCTTTTTTTATTTTTTTTTACTTACTTTTCTGGGAGGGGAGGTGCGGTATCTGTTTTTATTATCTAAAGGCTACCATAACCCAAGTCAAGTAGGCACTCAAGTCTGAAAATTCTGATCTTAGAGGAATTATAACACAACATTAATAATTTGTATTAAATACATAAATAACCAGTTCTGGGAAAAAAAAAAACCACAGATCACATAGACTTTACTATGGGTTTAGAGAGAAAATTACTTCCAAAAAGGTCAAAACATGAGATTTAAAAAAAAATTTAAAAACCTGTGATTTTATTATTCATCCCATCTATCTTCAGTTGTGTCAGGCTTTTTTTCACAGTGCCCTTCATCCAAACCGTAGATAGCATGGATTTTAAAATAGGGGGAAAAATAAAGAAAAAATTATTCTTCAGTGCCCAAAGAGCAGAGTATATTCATGTAAAGAAAAGTATGAAAGAAAGGAGAAAACTCTGCATCCATAAAGGTAAACATTTTAGGTGATTTAGAAAACTGGAAGGTTTGGAGAATATGTTAACATGTATAATAATACTATTATGATTGGAGTAAAAATAAAATTAGAATAACAAATGATAATAAAGCATCATGCTTTATTTGCTTTGCTTTAACATTCAGATTATCTTAATCACAGCTTCTTTTAAAATCAGAGGAAAAAGTATGTTCTTCACTAGTTCTCTGAGTTGTTCTGCATAGTCCATGTACTGAATACTCAGTTTCCTCTTTTGGGGCTGTTGTGGTTTAACCTGGCAGGTAAACAGCACACTTGCTCACTCCCCTACTCACAAGGAAAGAATTGGAATTTTAAAAAAGTAACATTCATGTGTTGAGATACAGTTTAATAGGACAGAAAAGGAAGGTAGTAGTACAATAGCAATAACAACAATAATAAAATTCTATAATTAGAATATACAAAAGGAGTGATAACCAGTGATAACAGTACAATTGCCCACCACCTGTCATGTGATGCCCAGGCAACCTTCCCCCAGCGTTTTATTGCTGAGCATGCTTCCATATGGTCTGAGATATCCCTGTAGTCAGCCGTGATCAGCTGTCCCAGCTGCGTCCCCTCCTGACTCCCTGTGCACCCCCAGCCTCCTCTCTGGTGGGGTGGGGTGGGGTGAGGAGCAGAAAAGGCCTTGGCTCTGTGTAAGCTCTGCTCAGCTGTGACTAAAACATCCCTGTGTTACCAACACTGTTTCCAGCACAAGTTCAAAACACAGCCCCATTCAGACTACTGTGAGGAAAATCAACTCTGTCTCTGTGAAAACCATCAGAAGGGTTTATGTAAAAGCAGGTCCACCAAGGCTCCACAGCCACTCTCTCCAAACACCAAATATTTAAATTAAGATTAGAAAATGATGGTGGGATCTTTCTGCAGAAAATACTTTCTTTTCCCTGTACTTGGCAAGTTCTTCGTATTTAAAAAGAAAAAGATAGCACTGAGTAGCACTGCATACTCTTGAATATTTATTAAATTATATTTTACTGGCAGAGAACATGCTCTTAAAAAGCTTTTATAGCTGCATTTCAAATTACTAGTGTGTTTTAGGATATTTGCAATGATAGAATCTGTTCAAACTGCTGTCATGTTTTAGTAGTTACCTCCCAAGATTAAAATTTCATCATAAGCAAAGACCTCAATACAATGGAAATTTTTATCTCAGCTAAAAATACTGTAACATAAAATTAATAGAATCTGAAATAAGTTTTTTTGCATGTATTGGTATATAATACAAGGAATGCTGCAATTGAAAATTAGTGTAATTTTGAAAACATCTGGGCAAGCAAGTCTCAAAATTGTCTGCTTTTATCAATACAGTATCTGAATTGTTCAGTTAACTATTTTGGAAATGGGAGGAAAATGGCTTTCTTTTTCTTATTTTTCAGGTGTTAATAGCTAATTAACCCTAATAGCTTTTGCTTTACAGAAATACAAATTATTAGAAATACATACTTGCACATCAATTCTGATCAGTGAGATACAAGAGTTTTGGAAAATCATAATAATGTGCTTAAAAATTATTTTTTTAAGATTGAAGATTTCATTTATTGTTACAAAAGCATGTTATTGTACAATTTTTTAAAAAGTGCATTTTAAAAAGCTAATAATTTTTTATATTAATCTCCAAAGTGTTGCCATTAAATCAGTGGCAAAACTATCATTGCAGTAAAAATGCAGAATCAAAGATTCCTGTACTATTTTTTGTTTAAGTATTTATTCTAAATTCTAGCCACTTGAATGTAGTTGTTTAAGATGCTATTAGATCAAAATTGACTAATTTTCCAATCACTAATAATAGGTTTTTTCTCTCCTCTCATACTTGCATATTTCATTTCCTCTGTTTGTGTGGCTGAATTCACTCTGGTCCCTAGACATGGCCATAGATTGCTTGCATAGCTTTTTCCACTGGAAAAAGAAATGATGGCCATTAGCAAAGGATAAGTAACAAACACTTAAGGAGTATTGGCATTTTCAATACCTGAAGTGAGTATGTGTTTTAGCTCGTTCTAGTCACGTTATACCACGCAAGGCAAGGTTCCTCAACCTAAGCTCCAGGCAAAGGGTTTAAATTAGGGAGGTTTAATTCAAAGCTGAATCACACAGAGAGTTTTACAGCAACCTAGGTGGAAACTGGTAAATTGCTGCAATTTGGTAATGCTGGATCTTATGCCCATAACTTCATGCATGAAGCAGTTTGAACAGCTAAGTAATCGAAACTATGTAAACAAGTAAAATGAAAAATCCTTGGCTTTGCTGTGATAGTTTAAGAGTTTTAACTGGGTTTCATAAGTAGATTTTTTTTCTTTTAGATCCTTCCAAAATAAAGATTCATGGGAAGTGGAATGTCAACAGCCTGCTATGCTCACTGCTGGTGGATGCCACAGAAACTGCAGTTCTGCTTTGTATGACCAAGGCAATATCACTGGTTCAAAAAGTGATAGCGCTTTATCTTCTCATCCACTTCACAGAGGCCATGAAAAGAAAACAGATTATAAAACTCCATTACCACCAGTGGGGTGTCCTTTGGGCCTTCCTGGGCCATTTCCTGCAGTGGGCAGAACAGGCAGCTTTCAGAGCCCTGCTTACAATGCAGAAGAAATCAAATTATTGGTAAGTAACTATTTTCCTATAACATGTATATTCTCAAAAATCCATTTGTGGACCAAATGTAGCCTTGGAGGAGCCAAAAATTAGATCACTCTTGTTGTCATTATTATTTATACAGTGCCAGCCCAGCAAAAATGGAAATAGCTTATCCTAACACAAATTCTGTTTTTCTGGAGATTAAACATCCCCTACTGAGCCATACCTCTGTTCTAATAACAGTGGTGGTAATTACCTGCCATTATGTGACTGTGAGAAAGATTTTTACATTTTATTGGCTTCTATATTGGGGCACTTTGCTGTGTATTGCCTATATAAGAGCACGCTGCTTCAATTGTATTTCCATAATGCCTGCTAACTTACTGCCTTAAGTGCTGTTAGACAAATCAAGTTCTTATTTGATCTACATCTCTTTGATTGATGGATGAAATCAGAAAAATCATAGCAACTATTTTCCATATGTTAGCTATTGTATTTGAAAAGAAACAGAAATTGTAAGTGCTGTGATTCTTACTTTTCTTGTAGTGAAAGAGTAATAGGACAGCGTTCTTTCTTTTTGTCTTCATAGACTGGAGACTATCACCCTCCATGACAAGTGGGACAAATCCCACTTTGCCTAGGACTACTTAGGAAAAATTTTCCATAATTATTTGGCTTTAGACCTCCCTTTAAATTTGAGATTTATCCTCTTCCTTAGTATCTTCTCTTCTTCCTTAGGCCTCCACTAAAGGCAACTATTGTTTTGCACTTGACAATTAGCACTTTCCTGATCTCAAACCATGAAACCATACCATCAGTAAGCAGTGAAACTAAGAAATGTAAGTGAGGAATGAACTAGAGGCCTCCCTCTGTCCAGCTGTGATGCATGGATCTTTGTAACCAGGAGATTCTCAGCTGCAGGGCTCGGGCTGAACCTTTAGAGAGAGAAGCGGGAAGACTTCAGCATTTACTGGGGGGATTGACAGGCAATTGTACCTGTGGTTGTTGTACCCCGGTTCTGCTGTCCACTTCAGAAACAAATGCACAGCCTTTCCTGTCACAGACATGGCTGCTGCAGAGCTATCTCCATAGTCCAGAATCTCACTGTTGATAGGAGGAGCTGTAATGATGGTGTGCTTGGGAAGCAGGGATTGCAGTGCAGCCCTTCACTGACTGTGGTCCCATCAGCTTTGTCCCAGTGGACTGAGAACAGTGAGAACCATGTAGTCCCAGGTGTTTGACCTCACTTGCATTTTTATATTCTTATGTTTCACAGGAACTTTAAGTAAACAGCTTTTGGGTTCTTATGGCTTGAAAGTTTTCCTCTTTAAACTGCTAATCATAAAAAGAGTCATTGGACTTTTTCAGATGAGTCTGATAAACACCAGTTCTTCTTTCTTCTGTCAGAAGTGTCAGACAGAGACACCAAATTGCAAAGCTTCTGTTTCCAGACAGCCTGGGGAAAAAGTCCCTTCTGAGACACTACTACAAGCTGCAGAGAAACTATTTCCCAGCTGGCACTCAGGCCAGCATCAATGCCAAGACTTTACAGCAGGTGTGTGGGCAAACACATAACAAAACTATTAAGCAAGAGATATTTTTCATGCAGAGTCTAGGTCCAAATCAGTGCAATTGAAGCAGGTACAAGTTCAGACCTCTGAAATTAAATCATCACTCAGGCTGACATTGGATCCCACAGCTTTAGTGCAGAAATCATTCAACAGTCTGTTACTCCAGAGTTCTGTGTTCAAATGCAAAGCTGTTCCATTGAGGAGAAGGAGGGAGGGAAATACACAATATGTTAAACTAGAGTTATTTGACAGAGTTCTGAGGTCTTCAGGGGTATAGAACACAGGGGCAGGACTCGTGTGAAATCTCCACTATGTTCAAAACTTCAGAAAATCCTATAAGGCACTAGTTTGCTGAAGAATATTTGTACTTCAAATTGAAAACATCAAATTTCCAGGTGATGGCCAGATACCTACCAAAATAACTCTTGGTATTGAGGGAAGAGAGAAAATAATCTGTAGGGCTTTAGACAGTGACTTATATCTCTCCTCCTGGTAAAGAATCTTCAGACGAAGATTAGTAAATGTTCCATTGCAACCTCTGTCTTCTCACATTCTTACTTAGAGGTGACATGTATAGAAAGAGTCATTCTTGCCTTATAATAAGCCAGAAAGCTCAGCTGGGATTCATTGGAAATTCCCATAACCCCAAAAATTCCTGTTTCAAGGGTTTCCAAATCTAGGGAAATACTTTTTCTTCTAAACAGTACTTTAGGCTGCACTCTCTGAAATGAACAACTTCAGAAAATGATTGGTTGATCTTTTAGTCATAAATCGTTTCTCATGTTTCTCTTCAGATGATAGACAGTTGTTTGTTCTGGCTTTAAGGCTTGGAAATACAAAACTTAAGCTTTAATAATTTAAATTTAAAATAAACATTAGGAAATTTTCTAACATTAGTATGGGAACTTGCTTAATAAATAGATTGCAATGGAAAATTGTGGAAATTCTACCACTGGACATCATTAGGAATTATTTTGACAGTCTTGATACTACCCCGAGGCAAGCTATAAAGTCCATGCCTCTCACTCTTAGGTATTACTATTACTTAGGCCGTCTAAAAATCTTCCTATGTCACTCAGAAATTTAAGCATCTCAAATTTAATTTTCATATATGAGCAGAAGCAAGTTTAAGACAGCACCTTCTGTCTAAGATGTATTGCAGTGTAGGGTTAGAGGAAACTGGTCCCTAAACATCCCAAATTTAGTCACTATGAGACTAAAATTAGCCAGACCACTAAGACTAATTATCCAGCCAGACTACTCTTGGTATTATGAAATATTCCCTGGAAAGTAGAAGCAGCTCAGCATGAGAAGACTCTAACACTGCAGTTTGACCACTTATGATTTAGCTGGTAAATGTTAAAATATCCCACATGTTAAAGCTTTCTTGCTGCTCTGCTGAAGGTGTATCCAAGAATGCTGGGTCAACTCATGGGGCAAGTAAGAGATTGCCTCTAGGCAATTAATTAGGCAGTTCTGTCTCTCTCTCTCTCTTTGAGAGATCTAGCTTCCTGAAGGGCTCCCCCCCAGCAATCCAGAATGAATTCTTGACCATGTTGGGTAGCTCTTATTTAAGGAGAAGACATACTTACAACATATTTCATCTATTGAAATATGCATCTCTATCAGGTGCACTCCTTCATTTCCAGCAAATGATGAGGCAAAAAGGTGTTTTTCATTACTGGTATAAACCAAAGAAATATAAGATCAGCTGGCACTGTAGAAATGAAAAAATAGAGTCCTCCTTGCCTTATTGCCCAAACAATTTAGATGGAAAGCTTATGATGAATCCATCCCTATCCAGCTGCAGTTAGAAAACCAAAAAACATAAAAGCAGTAATATCTGAGAAAAAGAAATTCAAAACCAAGGACCATGATTCTCATCTGAGACATGGATTAAAGCACTTTCTTTGTGGTTTTTCTTCCTCAGAGGCCAAAAGTAAAGACAATAAAGAACATAATGAAAGAACAGACCAGAGGCTTGGAATGCAAAATGCTGCTAACAAGGAATGTTGCCTTTTAGACTTGCTTACATAAAACCTTCTCTCAAAGTGCATGAAAAACAATGCATTAGGGACCTATCTAAAATCATAGTCTGTGATGTTTGACCCTCGGGTAAGGAGCTGTGGGGGGCCATGACCTGCTTATTCTAAGTGATAAACATTCTTCTCTCTACTCGGAGAGATGAAATGTCTCATTCAGAGTTTACAGTGTATTTCAAGAAGAAACACATCAAAGTACCAGTTGAAGCAAAGAACATTAACAGTTTGGGAAGATAGCTTGATTGTAAGGCCAGTCTTTTTCCAATGAGAAGTCAGTAGTTCTTAGCATTGTTATCCTGAATTTCTAAGGATCTTTTCTAACTTGATGTAAAGTTTCTGAGACTGGTACCTGTGTAAATCTGCAGTCCATAAGGAAAAGTCTAACACGACATTTTCTCTAGGTGATGACACCTGTTAAATTTGTATTTCAGATTCAGATTATCCCAGTTTCTCATGCTTCTCAGTGAAAGTGTTTTATTTGCTCAGCATTGAATCAGTGATTTTATAGGTGGTATCTAGTAAGGGAGACACATAGTGTTTTTTTAAGTTAAGCCTCCAAATCCAATGTATTCTTCATAATACAAAAGCCTTCTTCAAATAATTCAAAATAGTACTAATAATTCTGTCACTGAATCTTGACAACACAAGGAGACGTATTTGTGACCTAGCCCATGAATGGCATATAGCCATGGCATTCAGAAAACTCTTCATATGGAAACAGTGATAATTTGTGAATGGGAAATCACAAAATCAAAGGCAGGTGATATCCCTCCATTTTCTTAAACTTTAGAGGATTGGCATTCTTTTTCTTGCTAGTACAAGGATTGAGAGAGGGGTGTTATGGCAAAAAGTGACCCAATATCTTTAGGTTTCTTATTCATACATGTCGAATTAAGTCACTTTATCTTGCCCATCATTTTAAATCATTCTTTTAGAGGGATTGAGAAAAGGAAGATTCTGCTTTTTCTGTGAATTTCATTTTAGGAGCCCTATACATCAGAAGGCCTCTCTCACTCAAGAAGGATGGTATTAAACTCAGAATTTATTTCCAGCTGTCACTCACTTCTGTACTTTGAAAAGAAAGTGGGTTTCCTATAGGAATTCTCTAAATTTTATCTCAGAGTTGTACAAAGAGTTTGAATGGATTGGTGCTTTAGAGCATTTTTTCCAATTAGTATCTTTTAGCCTTAAAAGCTGCTAGAGAGCAGTTTTCAATGAAGTTGAAAACAAAGTCCAAATCTGTCTCTAGTTGCTGTGGAAATAGGGAATACCCCATTCTGACACGGTGGAGCCTGGAGTAAAAATTTTTGGATGTAATATAATTGGCCTTTTCCACAGACAATCTGAATATTTGAATTCCTGTTTGATGTGCTAACACATAAACTTCAAACATTTTTAAATTCTAGAAAAAAACCCTGAAATTCTAGACTAATAACTTAACCAGTAACTAAAACTATTTAAGATATGGTTTAACTAATATTAAAGATGTCAATCATTTTTCTTAATATATGACAATATAAAAATAGAAGATTACCTCTCTTTTAATATTAAAGCCCCTATACTAAGTTTTTTTCAGCCGAAACTCAAAAATTCATGTCATAAAATTGCATTTATCTCTACAAAAAAAGCATTGAATGTATTTAAACAGGCATAGTGTCATTAGTAAAAGAAAAATTATTTCATATTTCTTTTGATAAAGATATTCCAATGAATTCATCTTAGGTATTAGCAAGAAAATTAACAAAAATTGGTGCTGAAAAATTTAGACCTTGTTCCAGCAAAGATTCACACATGTCATTTTCATACAGCTCTGCATCCCATGACAACCATCTAAAGGCTGATTATTGGTATGGTTTGTGTCTGAGTCTACTAAATGCTCATGAAATGAAAAGAAGATTTTTCAGTGAATTACTTGCAGTGAACAAAAATTTAGTATATTCGCCAGAATGTCAGGGCTTGGAGTTAATAGTACTGAAATGAGCTCAAGTTTTCTTCCTTTCCTTGGAAAGTATAATACCACAGAAGCAGAGAGCTAAAATTACAGGAGACAATCAGCAGTATCCAACGTAATTATACTCAATGTCATTCCAAAAAAGATTATTGTCCTCTGCCCTGGTCTATATTATACAAATAACTAACATAGCCTGTAGTTGATAGATTTTGGAGGTTCTGCAGCAGCTTAATTCTGTCTAGTGGGATATTTAAATTTTTAATGGCCAAGCTACATCCTAATGCCATGAATATCAGAGATAATCAAACACAATGTTCAGTTCATGTCATTTAGGCATGGCTGCCTTTAAAAATGCATGCCTTTAAAAATGGTGCTTGCTTGAAGAGGTGTAAAGCATTATAGTGTTATTAGCTGCTGTAGGTCAATATGTTTTTCACATCTAGAATTTAATAATGCAAACACGTTGTAGCACTTGTTGGTTTTTCCTAACCATGATTTTCTATTCATTGCTCAGTCTCCCCCTGAGATGTCCTTCCTTTCAACAACAGAAAAGTTCCTTCAAGAGGAAGAGAAACATGAAAGAGAATTTGAAGAACGTTTAAATTCACACCTTGAAGAGCTGCAAAGATATTCTGAAAATACTCTAAAAAAATATGCCAGAATGCAGCAAAGCAGGCATACTTAAGCCAGTCACACAATTAAGAAAATCAAACCAAGTAATCACCCATGAGTTTCTTAGAACTAAAATCTGCAACTAGCTGCTTAATGTATTTAGGCATATCGCCAATATCATGTATTTGTAACACCAAGTTTTCAAGAAAATCATCATTCTCCTACAGATTTAAGTATATTGTAACTTGAGTATATGACAAAATAAACTCTGAACATATTCTGAAAGATACAGATGGGTTTTGCACAGTTAAATTGTGTGCAGCAGAGACCCTGTTGCAGCACTGTAAATTAAGATACTTAAAATTCTGTAATGTACAAAGGGCCAATAAGTGGAATTATTCCCTTGAAATTAGAATCAACCAAGACAAATTCTCTAGATTGTACAGAAAAATAATAAAGGCCTTTACCCATGTCTCAGCTCCTGGCATGAAAAGCTTATCTATGCTCTGGTGATTCTTGGCCATGGAAGTAGCCCCTGGGCCTCTGGAAATGCTGCTTTGTGAGAAGAACATTAAAAGACCAAGCACATGTTTTGAAGCCACCCATATTTCCCCTTTTACCAGACTGATAGACTTCACCAGGGGCAGAACCTGATCTCAGGCACTTTACATTAAGACTTTACAATTTTTAAAACCTGTGTTCAAAAGCACCTATTTTGGATTGAAGTTTTCTTACCATGTTGGTTCTTTGCTTAACTGTATTGGAACAGTGAGGAAAAACTTCAACTTCAGACAACATGTGATCAGTCTTAGGTAAGGGCCTAAATTCTTTACATTTTCCTACATCATAGAAAAACATTATATAACCGAGCAGAGTTAATTCAACTACATGTGCTGAAAATCTGCATAATATTGAGATTCCTTTTATTTGCAGTTCACACTGAATTCTATTGCTGTGCAAGCGAAACAGAAATTACAGACACTGTTGATGAACCACCAATTTCAGTGAATGAGATACTGAAGAACTGCTTTCCACCATATACTGTTGCCAACTTCCTGGGAAAATCTGGATAAAAATAATACCAGGCTGTCAAACTGCTCCAGTTTGTGAGTAAAAGAAGTCTCATTAATATTCAGGACCATGGCTAAAATGTAAATTGTTTTTTGATTCTATATTTCCACTAAGACAAAATACACTACATCATACTTACACAAAATACCAAGATTTTAAATACCACTTTGGCTCAGCTTGCAGTAAAATGAGCAATGAAGATGAGGACATCAAAGAACCTTTTACAGGAAAATTCAGGAAAATTACTAGACTCAGCTGGAGGAACAAGAACTGAACAGAAAGATGATGGAAGGACATCTGAACAAACTAAATATATACGCACCCTCAGCTTAGGGGGAGATGCAGTTTTAAAAGAATTAATGAAGAAATTCAGAAACCTCTGAAAATAAAGCTAAATTTTAAGTGGGGAAAGATCTGTATAAGCAAAAAGACAGCAAAATACTGACTTTCAGAAGAGCAAAATAAATAGCCAGTTAGCCAGAATCTTTTGCCACTCTCAGATTCAAACATACAAGATGACAGACTGCTCCAGATCTTCCAAGAAATGTACATGTCTGCCTCCAGTTCAGGCATGAGGACAGTACTCAAGGTTAGATCTGTGAGATGATGCAGAATGAGTGAATGAAATCATCAGAAATGTGTACAATGTTTTTTTCCTAAAGCTTTTTAAGATCTGGGCAGGCTACTAATTTTGGCTGATAAAATACCAGAGTTAGTTTCAGCCTGGCTTTTGTGCAATGCCATATAATAAATTGCCTTTGAGAAGCACTGGAAATTGTGAAGTACCTGTATCTGAACAGCCTACTTGTTACTGTTATTGCCTGCTTAGAGAGCACTGTGCCACAAATGCACTGAGACACAATGGATCAAGGTGCCATTTTTTTTTAACACCTACTAACCAGAAAGTTTGTCCTTCTCTTTCTCAACCAAACAGCAAAAGTTGCTCATCTAACAATCCCCAATTTAAATGAGACAATTGATGCCATAGTATAGAAACCACTGGTTTGAACACTTTAGTTACATTAAAAGGCAGAAACTCAACTGAGCAGGTGAGAGGTTTCTGAAGGAAGATATATCTTCCTGATGTTAACCTCATGTTATGCCAAAAAAACTTTTTAATGATGGACAGCAGAAATAATAAAGACTGAGAAATTACTCATTTATGGACAGGGGTTGGACATGGATGTATATTGTTAAAAAAGGAATAATCAGAAAGGTCCAAGGCTACAAATTACTCAAGACACCAATAAAAATGAAAAAAAAAGTATTAAATATTAGGCTCATTTGACAAGACAAGGTGCAATCTTCGGGAGCTGCAAATTGTCTGGATACTACAGAAAATTTCTATTCTACTTTGTGAATAGTGAAGCAATGGAAAATTTTTATAAGCTGCTGGACTTTGATGATTTTTCAAAGCTGTACTGAAAAGCAATTTTTTGGCTCCCAGTTGAAAGACTTGTTCTAAACACGAAGAACAATGGTTCAGGCTGCCACCAGCTTTTTTTTTTTTTTTTTTGGCTGAAGAAAAAACAGAGGTCAAATCCACGCAGTTGCCAACATGTTTCATCAAGATATAATTTTGAAATAGTTGGTGGCATAAAAGCTGCCAGAGCATTGCTGTCCAATTCACTTCCCAAAACTTTCTCTGAGGAGGCTGAAACAGCAGTTACTGAATACTAAATAGCCATTTAAAAGTGGCTCACATGAAAGTTGGATATGTAGCGCGTTTTCTTCTATTTCTTACTCTCTCATGTATGGGAAATTGAGGAGTATAAGAATGGAAGAGTGTCAGACATTGGAAGAGTGTGAGTACTCCGAGCCAATGTAGAGAGGAATGCAAACTGCAGCAGCAAAACACAGTGCCAAATGAACATAAAAACAAACAATCACAGGCACAGCTCTCTTGCTTTTCCAATGGGTAGACTTAAACAACAGCCAATAAATCTATGCTGTGATCAGAGACAGTACAGGAAGTGCCTAACCCCCCAGTGTCACTGTTCTGGCTTTATTGTAGTGGAACTGGTTCTAACTCCTGGTTTAACAGCGCTACAACAGCACACAGAATGAAGCCCACCAGCACTTAATAATTCCAAGCTCAACTAAACACCACAAGTAGGAATGAGAAGGAAACCATCAACAGAGACTGCTGAATGCATGAGCCAGGAGACTGCACATCTGCAGTCTGTCTTGCCAGCCACCAAAGCCTGGATTACACAGCCAGCTCAGGTATGTGATTAACTCCTCTCACTCCTGCTGCTCTCTGCTCCTGCGTCTCCCACAGACTCAACAGCTGGTAGAGTGCACTGGGGAGAAGGTCCTTAACTTGTATAAATCCCCTCTGGCTTTACAACCTACAACAGCCAATTACATCATTCACAATCTTTTTCCTTCCCCGTTTAATTCTATTCAAAATAGCTATCCACTAGATTTTACACACAAACTGCCTTGCACTAGGAAAATCTGGGTTTTTTCTTCTCACACACAGCTTCTGCTGAGAAAATGCTGGGTTAAGCAGAGTTCATTGGAGTTGGGTAAACCAGTGTGGGAACTGCGTGTTGTTTTTCCCTCACTGTGGGGATCAGATCTCAAAGTTCACTGTGTTGGAGTTACTCTTTAATCACATGGACACCTTTAAATCCATAAATAGGCTGTAATTTAATGTACTGCATTTAAGTTTCTGCTAGTGGATTGAGCAATGCCCCTAGAGTGTGATATGCTGCGTTCCTGTGTCTCTTCCTAAACCAACAGATCAATCTGTTTCTTTCACCTCTTCCACAGCTACAGGAGTGTTCAAAGCTGTACGTGATCCATCTGGGCACTGAACATAAACGGTCTGAAAAAAGAACAGTGCATCTTCTCTGTTGTGTGCATTTAAACTGAATATCAGTGAATAAGTAACTATTTTCTTGTAGATTCATTGAAACATGAGACCAGGAGCCAATCTCTTTAAGCTCTTAAAATGCGTGTAGTTCTTCCTTCAGACCACAGGCAGTGCCACTGGCTTCTCTCACCTGGCTATGGGAAGCTGGGGCCATGTGTAAGGCAGCTGGGCATTTACCCACTGCAAGAATACTTGACATGATGGCTTTGTTTTCTTAGCACTTTGCAGACATTTATAAAACTCCATTCAATACCTTAAGTATTTGACTCAGATTTGATTTATGCTTTGAAAAATCAGGTTTTAAAAACTGCTTCTCTAACTTGATTTATCAGAAGGCAATGGCAGATTTTTAATGACTTCACCTGATAATGAGCACTCTTGGAAATCATAAGACACTGCTGAAGAAGTGTCTCAGCATGAGTTTTCTGGAAAATGCTTGTAATAAATCATTCAATTTTGCCCACAAGCTACTGTATGCTGGGAAAAGGTTTGAAACTCTATTTCTAAGACATTTTTGAAGGCAACTGACAGTTGGAGCAATACATACAGTTAAAAAAACAGAGGCGCTGTTACACCTTCAGCTGAGAAGCTCACACAAGTTGACATTTGGGCAACCACCATTTATTTATTTCCCCATTATTACTCAGTGATTTTTGTCAGTTTCTGTCTGCAGAGGCTTCATACCTTTTTTCCAAACCCACATTCTCATATTCAGTACAAGTAAAAGGGAATTTGGTAGAAAATGTCAGAATCCAACTTTATTGTTTACTAGAGAAAAAAATATTTTTTTTTTTTAAGTTGAACTGTGAAATCAATTCCAGCTTCTACTACATAAGGAACTACTTAAAGAACCATTCAAAACGTGTAACACTATCTTCCTCTCAATTAGTACTCAGTAAAATTGCACATTTCAGAGAATTTAAATACACATCTTTAATTAGCTATAGGTTCATATTAATAGACATTTGTCTCTGAAAATATTATTACTGTGACCTGAAGAATTTACAGATGACAAGAGATAAATGAAGGGCATAAGAAAAAGCAGCAGCAATGTAACATCTCATTAGAGGAGTAATCATAAATGTTATCTAGCCCAACTGACATTTTACCTATTTAGTTGTTATCAGCCAGTTCATCAGTTCATTGCTCTTATGTCACAGACTCAACTCTTGAAGAAAATGAAGGTGGGGCAAAACTGCAGAAAGACTTTGAACAATTTTGGGGAAGGATCTCTGAATTATAAGATCATTGCCTGGCCTCATAAAAAAACTCTGCAGGTAGAAGAAGCTGAAATAAGCTACTACTCAGAGATGGGGAAGTCACAGGGACTTCATTAGAGCCATCACAAAGTATTACAGAACAAGAAGAGTCAGAAATCCCTGGTTAAGAATCTATGGAAGAGGACAATGAGGAGGAACCTCTGCAAGAGGTTATCAAAAACTGCACTTCTATTCTAAACACCCAAGACACCAAGTACTCTGCAGGACATGCATATTTAAATTGCACACGCTTTTGGTCACTTGCTCAGGCACAAATTTTATTCAAGCTGAACAGCACAGTTGAAAAAGGTGCAAACTACCAGAGCTCCACTGCAGCCATCCCTGACTGAGGATAAAATAAAAATAGGACAAGGATTTGGTGCCTAGGAGAACAGAAACAGCTGGGAGATGACAGACTAAGCAATTACCGTTAGAGATTCATCATTTGAGAGCTCCCCAGCGGAAGGAAGCAGTTGTCAGTGCAAAGCACAGATAATTTCAGTGTCAGCGCACGGCCCGCTGAGCACAGGGGTTTGCCAGCAGACTTCCCGCTGGCCGCTCGGCAGGTGAACACTCTTGCAGTCAGACCACGCTGGCCATGCTGTCTGTGCAGCTTGTTGTGCAGATATCCCAACTAGGATGCAAACTGCAGGGGGGAACAACCTCACAGTTCATCCAAACTCTTTAAGTTTTAGTAAACTTTGTATTTCAAAAACATCTGTCTTCAGGGCCAGTTTTATTCTAGACACTCCCAACAGCACTAGCACCAAGTCAGGAGCCACGGCCACCCTCACACCATCAGATATCTGCATCATTCCCAGGGGAGCCAGTTTATACCCAGCCATAGGCTCACCCTGCTGTGGGAATATGGGCCTTAGGGAAAAGTACACTGCAAGGACTTGCATTTGCTCACCTGGAGTGGGTTTTTTTTTGTAAAGCAACTTTGGGTGGCAGCAGTATTCTGCACAGGAGCAGTACATGGAGGTGATGCAGGAAACACAGCCCCCTCTTTCACTGGCACCTCAGTGAAGAGTCCTGCTGACTTCACTGGGACTATGCCTTAGCCAAAATACTACACATGAGGGAAAGACTCACGGGATCTTTAAGCACATAAATATTTCCTGCCATGCACCAGTGCACCAGAGCATCATGTTTTTCCTTCTTTGGCCTGCATTTAAGCAGCAGTGAGGAGTTCCCAATCTCCTTCCCCAAAATCTTCTGAAGGTTAATGCCTATTGAGTGCCTTAAATTACTTGAATAAAAAAGGGCTGTAGTAGAATACAGGTTCATTGGGGCATTTTGATGAGAATTTGCAGCTTAATTTCCTAGAATTAAACTGCCCAACCTGTGCTCACAGGTTCCTTCTAATGAGGGGATGAGGACTAAAGTTACACTGTTACTTCTTCCTTCTTAATAAAAGAAATAATCAAGGTTTTGTATGCAAAACCACCTTTTTATTGCCATTTACACAGTTTCAAATATTGAACATTCAGATAAGCAACTATCTGTGTTTATGCAGTTTGTTATTAGTTACTTCACCATAACCTGGCAGAATGTCCCTGTCCAAATTCTGTAAGATTCCATACAGCAGGTCCTGAAGTATTCACTTTGCATGTTGACATCTCACACCAAAAAGAAATTCTTTTTGAGTGAACTATATAGTGGTTGATGAAAAAATTATTACACAATGTAGGCTCTCACAATGTCACTTTTTTTTTTTTTTTTTTTGCAAAATAATTTGAAGATTCCAAGTAAGACTTCTTTTATTCAAAAAATAAATATATCTTTTCTGAATCAAAGCACATCATATGACATTAAGTACAAAGAAGAAATGTACTTCTTTGGAAGTTCTGAAATAGACATACAAGAGCTCATGGGAGCAACATTATCTGTAACAGTGATAAAAGCTGAAAGCTGATTTTTTACAAATTTATAGCAGAACACGATTTCCTTTTACAATATAGAGCTTCAAACAGCTTTACGAAAAACACCATTTTTAAAAGTCTGAAAGGCACATAACTGGACCATAAAACGTACTGGCACATTCACTAATACGTTTTATGTTACATTCCTAAAGAGAATCTGTGGGACTGTAGCCAAGAGAAAGACTGAAAATACCAGCAAGATCCTTTGCAAAGTACTAAAAGAGTGGCAGAGAGTTCCTTTTGGCTCTTGGTAAAATTAATATCCCAAAGCTAGAGAGTCTGAAAAGCTGCATCATTCAGTTGTATTGGGACGAGTCGCTACATAAACAAACACAACAATCAGCAGTACTACAACAGCCAGTGTGGGAAGCACCACGGTGGTGATCTGTTGCCGGGCCTCTTGCATTGCTTGTTTTCTCTCCTTTTTATCTTTGGAGGTCTCTTTTTTGGGTTTTCCTCTAAGCTGCCTCATCCTCCTCTTTGGATCTTTTTTTTGCTGAAATGTGGGACCAAAGGGAGTGTAACAGCAGAAGATTGTCCGAGGTCTTTTGAAACAAGAGGCTGAAGAATTCTTTTTCCACTGAGTGGTTGGCTGTGCAAGAAACTGCAAAAGAAAGAAAACAATTCTTTTGAGCACAATTTACATATACTCCAGTCATTAAAAACATTTGCAGGTAAATCTTTTATCCAATGGACACCAATGCAGCTTCTTTCAAGGAAACAGAATCATGGAGTTCAGCTCATCCACACAACACTTTCTCCATAAAAACCAGAGCAGTTCATCATGGTGTGTATCAGTCCAAGAACCCTGAAATTTTTTGTACTCTGTTAAGCCAGAAACAAAGCCCAGCACCATACATTTTGTCCTCCAAGACAAACAAGGTAACACAACTAAAGACTTAATGAAAATAATCTGAATTAGTCTTGCATGAACACAGGGTTCAGCTGCCCTTGGAGGAGGCAGGGAGGAGGGTCCCTGCTCATGGGCTGTGGCTCTCACAAACCTGCAGAACAAGGAGGGGCAAGCTGACACACCCTGACACAAGCATTTATCATCCACAACAGGTATTTATTGGCATAAAGGGTACTCCAACAGGAAGAAATGGGGAGAAAGAGCTGATTACTGAAAGAGCTGCTGATACTTCTGGTTCTTCTGCCGCACAGCAAAGTCTAAATCATAACATGACTCAGTGCTGTCACTCTTATTGCAGCTGTCATTGACAATTGAAAAGAAGCCCAAGCAGTAACAAGTATGCTAACAAACTACTGGTGTAGACAAACATTCATCAATAAAGTAGAAAGTAGTTGTTCTAAAGCATCTCCTAGACAAATTTTAAATACAGAAGTATCTACAAAGTGAGATTAAGAAAAACCACAGCATGGTATGAAAGCCTCTCTGAAATGAGAGTTAGTAGGGGCTTAGTATTTCCATACCCGAAGTATTTTTGCCCCTGAGCTGCCTGGAGCTGTGCAATTCCCTGACTGCACAGCAAGGGTGGACGCCATGCCAGCCATTGGCTACATTCTTCACCACATCCCCCAGTTCTGCCATGGCACAACAGCTGGACACATGCCACATGCACATAAAGACAGATTTGGAGGGCAATAATTACTGGTATCAAATACTGAGTTGAATTGAAATAAATTATGAGCTCAAGTTTTTCCATCACTCTAATATAGTCAAATAAAATGTATGTAGAAATTAATGGGTTACTGCCACTTCCTCTTTCCCTCTTCTTAATATCAAAATGTAAAGATGCCTTTAATGTGATGTTGTAAGTGAGGAGCATATATCAGCAAGCAAAGGTGCAAAGCTCAGTTCACCCCAGACATGACTTCCTCTTGATGTGTCATCTCTGGTTGATGCTACAAGCTGTCTTATGACTGCTTTTTTGAAATCCAAGAAGAGGTTTCGCTGAGAGTGAGATGCTTTCTTTTGGTGTTACAACTCAATCTCATTTGTCAGCCTGATCACAAAAGCAAAACAGAACTAAAAACACTCACAAAACAAGAATCCTCACCTAGAGGTTATGTGCAGCTACAAAGGACTTTTCATCATTTCTCACAGGTAACAACCTGCCTGCTGTGAATCTCATCCAGGCAATTCCTTTGCATCATTTAAGATACAATGTGGAATAACTCTGCTAAACTTGGACTGATAGAAGTGACCAGACTATCACAGCAAGCCTGTGGTACTAGAAAACCAGCAACAAGGCACAGAATCAATACCTCTGGCTTTATATGGTCCATCCTGGATGCACTCTAAATAAATAAATAAAACCAAAACAACCATAAAAAACTCCAAATCAAACAAAACAAACAAACAAAAAAAAGGTTCAAGCATGAAAAAATCACAGTGTTCAGCTGGATTCACCAATTCTATATCCCCTGCCTATACATCTTTCAGGAAGTTGTTTTCTGATCATAAACTTAGCAAATTCAGCTTGAAGTCTGAGGCAAACCCTTCATTTTGGTTTTGCTAGAGAACAAAAGGAGAACTTTTAGTGGCTAGGATATTTTTCAAAAGAGGAAACAATAAAATTCAAGTCTTAAAAAGAAACATTTCCTTCTGCATGGTACAGCATTAGGATCAAAATATGTAACAGATTTAGAGACCAGAAGTGGTCAATGAACTTCACAATGGAGAGGCAAACAAGAATTGGATGGCATAACTACATACAACGCCCTGTTCCCATCTTTTAATCAAATGGTCTGTGTAATTTCTAGACTTCCATAATTTTCTTCTTAGCAAATCTGCAACACTTCCTGACTCAGGGAGAAGCTTTTGATATACACCACCAGCAAGCCATGGGTTTCTGGTGTGGTGGTGTTATCACTTCCCTAACTCCTGAATTTCCTGTAGGGCAAAACAGATTTTTTACCCCTTCCATTTCCATTCCCTCTCCTGCTCTGCTCACAAGATTTATTACAAACTCTAAAAAAACTACTATGCAAAATAGAGTTTTACATTTGTCCTTTGGGATAATTAGCCAACCAGAGCATTTCAGGCTGCATTTTGGTATTATTTTTTACTTCCACTGTTAATGTATGTCTGCAGGTTTTGTATCTGGATTACCCACAGGACCCAAGAAGTGATGGCCAGTAAAAGCCTCTAGGACTTTCTGTGCACCATAGTAACAAAGAGGAGTTGCCATTAAACCAATTTCTCTAACAATAAATGTATGTCTTGCTCTGTGCAGCATCACTTACTACCCAGACACTAAAAACATCAGGATGGTTTTTTAAAGTCTCTTTTGAATGAATATTTCATTCTGAAGCAGAATTATACCAAGTTAATTACATACACTGGCTAACATCTGACAACTTAGAACAGAAAACCTTCCCGCAAATGTCAGCACCACTTGAATTGCAAGCTGACATTCTCCAGTTTGGTAATCTGGCATCAGTCTCCAAAAACTTATCTGGTAGACTTCATTACTTGGCTTTGCTACTGGCAGAGATGGACTCACACAGAAACTGACCCAGAGTTGTCAGAGAAATGAGCCTTAGGTTTCTTCTTAACTGAACCATAAAATGGAAGTGGTGAATCTCTGCAAATTGCTGCCAGGGTCCTGCTGCCACCCGGTGCCCAGCCATGACTGCCAGGATTGGACAGTTGCTGCAAGAGACAACATTTTCCCACAGGAAAAGTCCAGGATGTTGTAGATTCTGCTGTTTTCATCCTGGAATGAAACAACCCTGAAAAACCAGTGTTCAGCTGGATATGAGGAAACTCTACAGCCCATGTTGTACAAGCACATTCAGGGTGCTTTACACTGCCAAGCCTCTTACCAGCCCCTGTGGACTTCACTGACTACTAAAAATTATGTGAAGAAAGAAAAAGATGCGTAAAGCACATCAACAGTGACAGGGGCAGGATTACAACATTAGGGTCTTGTTCCCTGTGGTGTGCACAGTCCATGAGAACAAATTATCTGTTATTACAGAGCTACATCCTCCCTCAGCCATCAACCACCCTGCTTATGCTCTGGGAAGGCTGAATGCCAGTGAAGAGAGGAAGGAAGTAACACAGCATTAGGATAGGTGTAATTAACAGTCTCATTAGCACTGCTCACTTGAAACACCTGAGAGAAAGACACTACCAAAAGCTCAATGAAAAAGTGTTGTCCCACAGGCACTTCAGTCTTGTGCAAACTCAAACCTTGGACCAGCTGCAGAAGAACTGGAAGCTCACCTTTCCTCCTCAGACAGAAGTGGAGTCTTCTTTCCATGCCAGTCTCCCTTGAACAGGGGAGGGCTCACAGCCACAGGCTGCACACATCCCATTCTCCTAAGGCTACTTCCCATGGATATTAACGGCTCGACTGGCCCAAACATCTGGCAAGGGGGAAAGTGATCATCAAACTGGTTCAACTACTGCCTTAACTGGGAAGCCAGCAACTCCCTCAGCTGGGACACAAGGGGAACATCAACAGAAGGGATTAACACTCTAGCAAAAGTGGCATGCCTGTAGTCCACAACACTATGACAGCAGCCTGGCAGTAGCCAGCCATGGTAACTTCATCTTACTTTTATCAATTTTAAAATTTAAAATTCAATAATAAAATTGCATGGGGTGATGAGGTTATTTTTAAGTTCACTATAGCAAATTTTCCCCCAAAAGCAGAAACCTGCTGGCTAGAAAGAAACAATCATTCTAAGAAACACCAATTGCCAAGTAAAAGAAATGAGTTGGCAAAGTTGTTTTACACGTGGTAAAGTTGTTTTAAACACCCATGTCACAAAGCCTATCCCATCTTGATACTGAAGAGCTAAGGTTTCCAGGAGAAAAAAAAAAACAGTAAAAAAATTCAGGCTATTGAGGATAAAACTAAAGGTAACATTCTTCATCATTCTTCATTGTTCATTGTTCTTCAACATAACACAAATTCACTAATTTAGTATTCTGGGTTGCCTACTAGAGCAATTCCATGCCTCTTTGCCCATAATCAGCATTTCTTTTTATATACAAATATGTTCATTCTGTCTTCTGGGTTAAGTTACTGTGCACTGTTTCTGCAGAGCTAAAGTCAAAACCTAAAAACATGAATTGGTGGACTGAGTCACTCATGTCACTCATACCAATGCTGAAGTATTTGACAGCATCTTAGACCAAGTCAATCTAAGCAGGGATCATTTTATACCAGAATACTATAGTGGAACCTGATTTCCTTCAATATATATACCAACAATCTTCCAACCACATCTGTGCCAGTCTGCCATCTCCTTTTTTTGGTAAAATTAACCCTGAACTTCAGTAATCTGCTGTTAAAAGCTCCTCACACCACAGAAGGCTATTCCTGTGAGTCTTGAATGGCAGCCTCAACTCAGGCTAGACCACTGCTCATGGAGTATTGCAAATTTGCATATCCTTCCACATGCAACACATGCAGAAAAGATTTTGTTTATCTGCACTTAGGGTAATTGTATGTCTCAATGTCTAAAGAACTTATTATCACAAACCTCACAGCATGAATGTATTAACTATGTTAAACTGACAAATTTTTCTCCAAATCCAAAATTACAAGTGTATGCAAGCCAATTTGGCTCAACCTGGCTTCATGATCCTGGCATTGACACTGCAACATTCCTGGAACAGCAAAA